TTGTGACATTTCATAGACATTACGCTGTTATGCATAAGTTAGGCTGTCGTTGGACGTACACTCTGGACTCGTTATGAGTACTCTATGCATACACCTAAAAAGTGGAAGAATACATAGAAAGTTCAGCGTATGGCATCGTTTTAGAAGATTCTGGGGTGTCAGGCTAAATGGTCATGGTGTGACTGGCTTTGGCAGCAGTTCTGACTTTTCTTGTGCATCTATCAGCGGGGTGATGCTGCGTGGATCAGGAATCAAGTGGGACCTGAGGAAGTCCCAGCCGTACGACAAATATGACGAGGTGGAGTTCGACGTCCCTATTGGAACCAACGGAGACTGCTATGACAGGTAACGGGTGGCTTTCGTTTTGTTGGAGCTTAAAAAAGAAAAAGTTGTTACCATTTTATACTGAGGTTTTCTGTTTGCGTGCATCCAGGTATCTGTGCAGGGTGGAGGAGATGAGGCAGTCGCTGAGAATCATGCTGCAGGCGCTCAATAAAATGCCAGAGGGGGAGATAAAGGTGGACGATGCCAAAGTGGCTCCACCTAAGAGGTCTGAGATGAAGGTAGAGGAAGCAGACTTTTCTTCTCTGCAGCATTCTGTTCATTTCTCACACAGCCAGAGCAAGAACTGGACGGTTCAGGGTTTCTACTACTTCTATATGATTTAAGTGACCTTCTGTTCCTTTCAGACATCCATGGAATCCCTGATCCATCATTTTAAACTCTACACAGAGGGCTACCAGGTTCCCCCAGGGGCCACATACACCGCTGTAGAGGCTCCAAAGGTGAGGCCCCTCATGCACTCGCATATAATGTAATATTCTTCTTTGCTAAACATGATGCTGCCTGTTTGAATACTGGCTGAGTGATAAGCTAGAATAAAACTGTTCCCACTCAGAGACATGATCGCATTAGTTCGCCAGATTAATGATGATTTATCAATTACTGAAATGGTATTTAAATAATCTGGGAACTGAATCTATAACTGGATTATGCGTAAACTATAATGTTTAATTAATTAAACGAACCTCTGACCCTGAACAGAAGTAGACAAAATAAATCTAAAAGTTTTCCATTTAGGATTAAAACTACTGATGGTTAATGAGGCATCTTGCGTTGATACTGTCTGGTAGAATACTGACATCTGCTGGACCTTTTAGGATATTACAGGCAGCTTATTTGACAGACTAAACTAAATTGATTTGATGACCTAGTACAATGATATAACTTAAATTATTGTAGGTTATATTGTATTACTTCATATCTGTGTTTAAATTTAAAATATCTGACATTTTTAGATGCAGCCAATAAATACTGTAAACATATATAATAATGTGAAAACGTAGGGGAAAATGTGAATGAAGATACATGTGGACTAGGACTTTAAATCAGATTTTTAAAACGATAAATACAGTTAAAAAAAGTAAATAAACTAAGAGTCACTTTGAAATTAGCTTTAATTCAGATACCTGAGTGATAACTAAGAGGAAAAGTAGTACACAACGAGAAAAAAAAAAAAAATGCAGCTCCAAAATTCTTGATCATTTTAATAATAAACCGCAAAAAATGACACTTTTTTTTTTTTTAGCAGATGCAGCATGTTGACGGATATGTTTTTAAACACAGTTTAGGGTGTCAGTCAGTTAGAAACATCTCCTGGATCGGTCCCATGGCTTTCTTGAAACGACACACGCATGGAAACAGTTACCCCGTTTACACTACCCTTAAAAAACTGAGCCGAGACCGGTCCGAGCTCAGTAACTGAGATAACTTGTCGTGTGTGAACGGAAACAACCTGAACTGAACCGAGATAGACATAACCGGACCGCGCTAACTGCAGACCAGTTCCCGAGGTGGGTTCGGCTCGGTTTTTTCCTGGCTCGGTTCTCTGATAACAAGAGCGCATGAGCAGAACGCGTCATCGCCGACTGGCTGAACATGCCGATTCACACTCCATTCCAGAAAGTCGGCTTCCCAAAAGCCGACTTTCTCAAGTACATCCGCGCAAGGTTGCCGTCTTCGCCTGACCCACCGCAAACACGGAAGTACAGCAATAATAATCAAGCATAACTTTCTGAATGTGACGGGCGCCGCCATTTTGATTTGCTTGATTCCCTCCTCCTTCATCTTCTTCTTCTTGGGTTTTACGGCGGTTGACAAACAGCGTTTGGTGCATTACCGCCACCAGCTGCTTGAGTCCCTCCTTCAATCCTAGCAGTAATACCGCACATCGTCACTAGGATGCGAGGAGTCGAGATAACCGAGATAAGTGTGACGTGTGAACGGTCGTCAAAACTGAGCTTGGCCTGGTTGCCGATCCAAGCTCGGACCGGTCTCGGCCTGGATCGGTTTTTCAAGGGTAGTGTAAATGGGGCTAGAGTTTTACTTTATGGGCTCCACACATGCACCGCCGCATCGGAGCTGCTGGACCCATCACTGATTAAAACAAACAGAACTACAGTAGAAGTTTAAGCTTCACTTGGTTCTGATAATGTTTAACAAAACTTATATTAAGCACCTTTTCTACGTAATTATTAATTCACTTAAGTTATTTACTTTGATTATTAACTAAAGAAGTTTTCAGCAAGTTAATAAATCAGCAAAATATTTTTTTTTTGCAGATATATGGGGGATGGATGTACGAACTCATCAACCAAATCACAATCTGTTAATTTTTTTTATTCTGTTTTCAAGTTATTTCAAATGTGCTCTTAGTCACCAAATGTTTTCTTATTAAGTAATGTTATTTTACAAGAAGCATCACAAAATAATCACTGTTAGATTACTAATTAATGGTAAATTATCCATTTAAGTTTGTGGGATTGAACAGTGAGATATTTTTGAAATATCGATTTACAACTGAACGCTATTTTATGATCCGACTGGTCTGCTGTGCTCCTTGGTCTTCGTAATTCTGAAGGTTAGATAATATTTATTAGTCATCAACACTGTTAACTTTTAGCCACCAGGGGGCGCCAGATCATCCAAGGTTACTGCACCTGAAAGAAACTCTGGCAACAAAGCATCGTCGTAAAATTAAAAATGTCTCTCTCTGATAACGGACCAATTTGGACCAGAGGTTGAGAAGTTTTAAAGACGAAGACACATTCAATGCACTAGATTAAATACTGCATCAAATAATCCAAAATATGTCTAGTCAGTTAAGGTTCAGAACATGTTTATCATCTTATATCTTAGTTAGCTCTCGTGTTTGAGGTTGATCTCAGACTGCTGAGAGGAGGTCACATGACTTATTCAGTGACTGATCAGAGCCTCTTATTTAATATGCAGGTTTTTGTCAAAAATTAGAGTTGCTTCAAATGACTCACAGAGGTGGACAATGTTTAGGCCTGAATACTAGAAATCGACCAGTAAAGGTTTTAGAAGGCTGTTGGTGATTATTTTAACAGCTAACTGATCCCCATTATGTGCTGCTGATTGCTTTTAGGCCCATATGTTGCTTTATTTTCCTCCAATTATTTGATGCAAAATGTTAACAAATGTTGCCCAAGTTTCAGTTTACGAAAAAATAAGACAAATCAAAGAAAACTTTATCCTTGGATAGCAAAAGGAGGGATCGGCAATGCATGCACTTCATGTGATCTCAAGGCTTGTCTGCTGGATGAATTGGTGAACACACTGGCTGATGGCAACAAAAGGAAAAAAGAAAAACACAGTCAGAAATATCAGCTAGACAATGAATCAGTCCAGTCTGCACTATATCTTTCACATGTATATCATTAAAGTAGATCTATTTACAGCCCTAGAGTGCTTTATCATATCACATACAGCCCAAATCTAATACAGTATATAAAAGTTGTAAAAAATTTAGCAAAACCTTTAAAAGCTTCATTGTAAAGTTAGTTATAAAATAATGGTGTGGAAGAGGCCTTTGTGATCATTTTGTTGTTGTTGTTTTTTTTTTAGATCAATTCTCACATTAAAGCTGTTAGCCGTTTGCAGTTATAACCATGGTTTATTTACAACCCCCTCTGTGTTTTTCTGCTCTGTGCTAATGAATGTGTATTTGTGTGTCGCCTGTGCTCTCTGCAGGGGGAGTTTGGTGTTTATTTAGTATCCGACGGCTCCAGCAGGCCCTACCGCTGCAAGATCAAAGCTCCAGGATTCGCTCACTTGGTGCGTACCCATAAAATAATAATGCCTCCCGATCAATAATTTATAATATTTAATGACTTTTCCTCAAGGCAGCTCTTATATCATGACTTTCATTTTCCAAATTACTTTAGAATCACTTTTAAATTCACAATGAAGCTCCTTCATTTCCTTCTTTTAGCTCATGGCTACATGAAATGCAGCTTAGCATATTTAAATTGTGGGTTTGCAGGGCAAAAAACCTCTTTTGCACCGCATAAACAAACTATTAGTGTAGTTAGTGGATAGTCTTCAGGCTGTTTTCTTATGACTGCTAAAAAAAGAAAAGGGTTTCTGTATGAGCTCATCTGTAGCGAGCGCTGTTGGTGTGAATGTTAAAATGTCTGCTTGATTCTAGGCTGGTCTGGATAAAATGGCGAAAGGACACATGCTGGCAGATGTGGTGGCCATTATCGGTGAGAATGGCATCAGTTTCGCAGGAAAAAAACAAAAGAAGAAGTGGTCATAAAGTTCCTCTTATTTAACCCCCCTTTGATCCTCTCCCCTCAGGTACACAGGACATAGTGTTTGGGGAGGTTGACCGCTAACGTCATGCTGCTCGTGAAGATTTGGTTCAATCGGCGCTTCTTTTCTGCTCACTTCAGTTATCCTCTAATATTACATGTACAATGCTCAAATCAACCTAATAAATGTTTTCTCTCTGAGCTGATGTGGCTTCTTCTTCCTGTCAGAGTTTGAAGGTGGAAGTGTTTTTAGAACTGCTCTATTTCTACTGTTTGTGTTATTGTGAACAGATACCAAAGCCTCGGTGGTGCATCTTTTCCTCTGGTTTTCAGCCTTCAAAGGGGGAGTGGTCTGATTAGATCTGAGAAAAATGGACTTAGAGCTCAGACCACAACTTCCCCTCATAGCTGTGAGGTGTGCAATACCCGAGCCCTCACCAGAGCGCAGAGACGAGAGGAAAAACATCAACAAGCTTCTGCCGCGAAGGAGCCCAGCCGTCCGAGTTAAACCTGTAGCACCATGGGAGCGTGGGGCGGGAGTCAGCTGCTGGTAGCGGTACCTCTCTGGATGTGTTTTGGCAGAGCTGGTGAGTCCGGAGAACGGAGCTGAAGAGCTGACCTCTTTTTAATCTGCGTTTTTAGATCAAACCAATAAAGATTTAACAGTGAGGATTGAGACGAATCTGGTAAAATGCTGAAAAAAAGACAAATCCTAAACTTTCCTGTTTGATTTATATTTTGGCAGATGTGCGCAGTGAGGTTTTGGAGACACTGGGCCTTATTGTGCTTGGTGTAGGCAGCAGAAACGCTGTCACGGTTTCTGTGAAAGAGGAAACTGACCTCGCTTACTGCAAACCAGCAGAAATAACGTGTGGATCAAGTTTAACGGCTAAATTCATTCAAAGCTCCTTTTATCTACATCCTCTACATAGATCTACTCGCTCATCTTAATAAACAGTTTGTCTTTTATATATATTAAAAGCTGGAAATTTAAACTCTAACCTCAAACCTAAGTATAAGTTTAAGGTTAGATTTTGTTTGTTTCAAACATACTGAAAGTTTGTTTGATAAACCTCAGGGGGTCCATCATTTTGTCTCAGTATGTTCAAAGTCTACTATAAATACAAGAAAACATAAAATATGCATATTAACGTATTTTTTTCCTTTCAAAACTAGCACAAAAAAAAAATAATTAAAGTCAGTAGGTATTCGTAATGTCAGGGCTGTTTTTTTTTTTTTTTAAGATATCCGATTTTCTTATTTCCTGCTTTTTGTTTTTCCTTTTCGCTTCAAAGTTTATTGCAGATAACTTTATGTGAGCCATTCTGTAATTTCAGTGTTAGTATCTCGGAAATGGTACATCCTGATATGTCAGTTTTTTATTAAAGACCACAGGTCATGGCCTACTTTATTTTTATTTTATTTTTTACCTTCGAAGCCCCAGATCTCTGCCACTTTCAGAAAATGGATCTTATTTCTAATGTTCAAATTTTATTAAAAAAAAAGACTGACTGTCCCTCAAATATGTTAGGATACGTGTTCATTTATTAGTCGCATATATAAGGAAACTATTTTGAATGTATATTTGTTTTTTTCTAAACCCAGCTCTGCTGGTGACTACATCAGAACAGGAAGGGAGATATCACCACAGACAGAGATCATCACGTCTGATATCAGGGGGCAACATGTCTATTACAGCTGCTGAATTTATCCTCAACAAAATGGCTTTAGCTGAAAGCAAGAGGAGTGTGGTCCTCTGGAAGTGAGTCACTTTTGGACACCAAGCATGTGATCAAAGACTTTAGGGAAGTGCTGCAGTTCCTTGAATTTGGTAGAGAAGAAAGAAAGTGGGTAGGAAGCAACAGAACTTCGAGGCAAAGTGCTTAAAAAGTCAAAAGAAATGTCGTGCATGAGCTGTCTTTTTCATTTAGAGTGACATAAATCATATTGCTGAAGGGATGTAGTTCAATTTTTTAATAGTTCAGCATTTACTACCAATGTGTTTCAAGCTGAGGGTGGTAACCTGACTGCTCTGAGTTTTTATTTAGCCCTTGAAGGTTTCGTAAGGCGGACGGACCAAGATAGGAGGTAGAAGGACTATTAAAAGTACAATATCACTTTGAAGAAAAACACCTTTTCTGAACCGTAGGTTAAATAAGAACAGCAAAAGCTGATTCTACCTTTAATCTTATTCTTAACTCGAAGCCAGCTCTTTGGACGTGTTCTGCACGATGCAGCCCAAGTTAAAAAAAGCAGATTATGTTTGAAATGAACATCACAAGATAAAAAAACGAAACAGTTTTGTATAGTTTAAAAATGTACAGCTTATTAATCTCATGAAAAATAATACATACACACAATAAAAATATATTTGGACAAACTTATTTCCATTCTGATACTTGAACAACTATAAACTATGAAATATATTTCTTTATTCTTCTGGCAAATGTTTAAAGAGTACTTTTTTAAAATTATTTTCTACAGTTAATGTAATTCTTGTTTATCTTAAAGGGAATTTAAATCATGCGATCCCCTGCTACAGACTTAGGAACAGTTTTCAGAACACATGCAGGCATTATAAAACATACTTAGTAGAAATTAGATTAATCAAGAAAGTAAAATTTAGAGGATTCTTCTTAATCCATGCTCTGAAATTTAGAAAGACAGATACAAATACATAATTCAGATTATAAAATTACTTTTTAAAACAAGCATTAAACTTATTTTTCACTGTATCAACAATGTAGTGTTTAAAATGTGCTTTTATTAGACTGATGTAATTTTCTGTGATGCAATGTTTTTTTTAAGGTCAGAGTGAAAAATGATCAGAAATAAGGTTAAAAACGGCCGTCTAAAATCCTTTTATTGATGGTTTTGAACTGAGATAATATGGTACATTAACCAGGATAATATTCCTGTTTATTAATGTGATTATACATTACAAAATTATTAAAAATGTGTTGTCAATACTAGTAATTATTACCAGTATCTCTTAGGGAGTTCTGGCCGCTAATCGGCAGATCAGTCCACTAAGAAAAGCAGACGCTGGTGAAAGCCACTGAATCCAGATTAGTAGATCACTAAGATTTGGTCCTTTTACAGTTTATGCCCCATGTCTTTATGTTCTGCTGCTCTTTTAGAATATCCACTTAAATAAACTCATAACGAAAAAAGCAGAATTAAAAAGCCAAGGAAAGGGAAGCAATTTATGTCTTTTTCTTTTTTGACCGTCTGCATAAAAAAAATTCCTCTTTTTTTTTTTTTTCTATTAAATACAAGACATCAAAAATTAACTCAGGTTTTATGTATTCAAATTTCAGGTAAAGTGAACTGCATACATTTTTTCTTGATGTTGTGGAGCCTCGACAACAGTGTCTCTGAAATTGCAGAATGAGGAGAAATTGACTCTTAAAAACAAGAAGAACCTTACTTTGTGTCATTGCAAAGTATTTTTTTGTTTTGTATGTTTCCTTTTCCACATCATGTTTTGTAAGAATTACAAAGTTGTTTGGATAATAATATTAAAAGATACTCATTTTTTTTTATCCTGAAGTATTCAAAAAAAATTAAAATTTAGTCAGATTTGATGTCGATAAAAGTTTCTGTCATTTTTAAATCTGTCTTTTAATAACTACTTTCATTTGAATATAGTGTATTGGTAAAGGCTAATATATCATAACTAAAACAGTCCCATTTTTGCATAATTATCATTATTAAACCTATTAGAAATATAGGACTAACTAAAATGACAGCGTCACACCGTTTTAAACACTAGGACTTATGGAAAAATTCATTTTAGAAGAACAACGAAATCTTTGAACTTGTTCAAAGTGTGATAAAATCCCCAGAAAAAAGTTTTGATTTGACTGTTTTAGTTCCTGTAGAAGATGGTTCCTGGTTCATAGGAACTCTAACAGTGGAGGCAACAGAGACCAAGTCAAAACAGAAGATAACACAGAGACAATAAAACCAGGATGGATTTATAGATATGTACCAATGAACAGAAGGTAACATCCAGCTGACTGAAGGATATAACTTTGCAATGATGAAAAAGATCATCTGGATGTGGATCTCTGAGCTTCATGAAACATGAAAAGCAGAATTTAATTAACGAAGAGAGCTGTCCCAGGATTTCATATATAAACGTCACCACAGTCTAAAGGAGTCTAAAAGGGTGGAAGCGACACGATGTTTCCGGACTTGTAAATGAAAAGTAACCTTATTTTCATTAAGTTTTTGTTTCTATCCGATTTAGATATTTAACCCAGGCTTCTTTACTGTTCTTTGTCATGTAATGGCCTTTCATAATCTACAAAGGTTCAAATATTGTTGCCTAATATGGTAGTTCTGTAAATGGCTCGACGCTAACGTCATCATCACAGAGACATGTCGTAAAGTGGAAGTCATGTCAACCCGTTCACAGAGTGTCTTCTTCTCTATCTTCCAGCTGCAATCACAGAACCAGAGATCTGTTATATCCTGGATGGCATTCTCTTCCTGTACGGCATCATCCTGACTGCGCTCTACTGCAGAGTCAAGGTTTGCATCCCATGTCTCTCCATTTGTGTTTAGAATGAAGCAAACCATTGCTTAGTCTGTAATCAAACCAATAATGACAGATGACAAAAAACTAATTCAGACATCAATGCATTTTCCCCATTTTTCCCAGTAAAGTATCACATTTACAACCTTTGACCTGCTGTTGCTCTGCAGCCTATCGATCAAAGGACAGACTTTATATTAGAGTCCTCAGTTTTAAGGAGGAAATGTGTTAAATATCAAGAAAGAATCCAAACTTATTCATACCTAAAGGATAAAGAGACCCTAAAAACATTCGAGTAATAATAAAGATATAAAGTTTGCTTTAATTGCTAAGAATTTCAAAACAATGTCTAGGTCCTTTAATAAGTATGTTTTACATGTCGAGGGTCCTGTATGTTTTTTGCATTTTATCCACAAACCTTAATGTGTCTTTGGGGGATTGCAAGTCAACAAAAACACTGGGCTGAACTGGAAGGACTGTGAATCGTGGCTTTCAAATTGTTTTAGATATAAAAATTTAATAAGTGTGCCATGCATTTATGCATTGGCATAAAACTCCTTGGACAAAATTTCCTTTAGAGCCTAATCGGTAAAGAAAACCTCAGTGTTCAATGTAATTTCAGCAGAATCGCTGTTCTTTTTGCCTCAAAGGTTTTATTTTATTTTTTTTTTAATATTTGTGTTTTCAAAGGTTGTATTTTGAAGTAAACCTCGACCATTTACAGCTGCCGTATCTCCTCTATTGGGGAGTGATGATCAAGACAGATGTTAGAGAAACAGCATCATGAAGTCAAAGGAATCCATGGTAGATGTCAGGGATGAAGATCCAAAATTTAGAGCAGGGTTATGTTTTAAAACTACATTCCAACAAAGTTCAACACATCATCTAAAAATGGACAGAGTACGTGAACGTTCTCAGAAACTGACAGGCCACAGAACAATCATGAGGAAAGCTGCCATGATACCTACGGAAGCCCTGATGACATGCTGAGATCCACAGCTCAGACGGAGTTCATCTAGTTGGGAACTTTGCAAATCTGACACGGTGGCAGGAAGACAGCTGTTGCTGAGAGAAAGTCCTGTTTATAATTTTTATAGTTAATTTTATAATTTTCCACAATCACACAGGGGTCACAGCAGCCTGATGGAGGACTGTGCCCCGGCCAGATGAGAGTAGAGTAGAACTAGTTCCAGCTAAAACACAAACAAGTTGATTGTATAAAAGATGCACATATCTCTGATCACAGCGTTCTGAAGGGAAACACCGTGACGGCAGCAACAGGCCTTCCTGAAGCTTTTCTTCAGCAGCAGTGAGGTCATCAAAGCTTAATGTGGCTAAAAGAAAATCTGTAAATAAAAAGGTTATAACAGATTAAAGTGGAGGTTTACCTTCCATCAAGGAAAAAAAAAGATTCTTAACCAAAGGTATAATGTAATAGAAAGAACTTCAGATGATGATGTATCTTTTTTAGATTGATGTGGACAAATTTTTGTTCCTCTTCCAAGTAAAGAACATGTTTTTGTAAATGGAAATAAAAAAGCAATCCAGAAATTAAACTTAAAAAAATAAATGAAATTCAAAAAATTATAATAAAATAAATATATTTAAAAAAATAAAACAATACAAATTAATTACATCTAAAGAAAAAAAAAAAAAAAATCAAAATAATTTCAAATCTAAATCTAAAAAAAACAACAGTTACTTTAAAACTTTTTTTTTTTTTAATTAAGTTTTGTTTTTTCGGTTGGATTTAAGGAAGTACCGTTAAAAAAAAATCATTTTTTTTCTTGCGACAGTAATTCCCTCCATGTATTTCAAACTTATGTTTGAATATATTTAATATATCTCAATGCATAATTGTGCTTCATCATTATTATTTCTATTTTTAGTTTTATTTATGCAATATATCTCATACTGACCTCAAGAAAGAAAGAAAGAAAACATACAATGCAGCAATTTAGTTGATCCCCTCCCACTGTCATCGCAACCCCAACCCCTTTACAGGGGAACAGAAGACCCTGCCTATTCAGCCAGGTTGACAATTACCTTTAGCGACACCCCTTTCAGAGACATAGACAGGTACGGGGCATTGCAGGCTAACAAAAGAAGCCAAACGACGTGTTCGTACGGTTCAATTTGAATGTTTTCTAAACAAAAACAAGGCTTTGTTGGGCTACTGCATAAAGCCTCTAACTCAACGCTATTTCTGACATTTTGAATTGAAAAAGCTTCCTGGATGGGAAGCGAAATGTCTTCAAACTTGGAAAGAAAGTCCAGTGGTTTGTTTTTCAACTATTTTGGAATACTGTACTTAACCCAACTCATAACAAAACGGAGCAAGCAGATTTATAGGCCTCAATCTAACTAAAAATTGGTGGCAAGCCTTGAAAAGTAATGAAACAATCCTTATTTTATCTGAATAATATTGAGCAATTTTATGAAAAAGTCTTTGTTATTATTTGGTGTAAGCCTGATAGACATGCCCAAACACTTACAGCTGCAACATTAACTCTGCAACTATTTCTCTGAACATTTTAAGCTCTTTGAGTGCTTTAGCTGTTTGGTTTGCTCCTGGGATTGAGACTACAGGTCAGGTGTTAGGTCACTGGACGACCCGGCCTCCTCTTCATCTGTCACTGCATCCCTGCTGCGCCTCAGGATCTATTCAGCTTTGGGTTAAGTTAAAAGGAAGCTATGTCCCCCTGAAGGTGGTTACATCTCAGAGGTTCCCTTCCGGTTCTTTTCCTGGGATCAAGCTACTTGGTTTAAATACTCTTAACTCAAAACTTGGTAAATCTATATAAAAATGACTTAAAACAGGAGTTTTTAGTTTATTCCAGATCAGATTGTTACAGGACAGAGAAATTGCTTGGAGTCGGTACAGCTGTGGGCTCAAGTCATCAGCCCGCAATGGCATCTGGAAAATGAGCCCCGAACGATATCATCTCCTGCTTGTTATATCTCATGAGTCTATGTGTTGGATCAGGTGGATGCTTAGCTTTCCATGTCAGGAACTGACACGCCATCCATGCCCTGACCTCTGTGCCTCTTGCATCTACGCCTCAGGATTACAGATAGCTCTTCTTTATCAATCTGGCTCCGGGATTTATCGTTATCCTGTGTTGATTGCACAGACAAGACTGTCCTAATTAGATAGAGGTGATACATCATGTGATTCAGGCTGTCCACCCCATCTAATCTGGCTAACAGATAGGTAATAAACATGACTAATAAAGAATAAACCTAACAGTTAAGAAGGTCTAAAGTAAAAACCCAACAGTTCTCAAAGCCCTGCACCATTTCTTCTTTTACATCTAACAACATGTACGTTTATATCTATAAATATAGACATAACATCCTTAAATAGAAATAAAAATGGAAGGTACAGTAATAACAATAATAATAATCCAACATAATATAGAGTCTTATTTACCATTTCTTTTTCTGTTTTAAATGTTTTATAGATCTACAATGCCAGAGAGGCCAAGGCAGGCAAAGGAAAGTCACAGCAGGTAAGATTGGCTGCATGTCTAAAATGAGACTTGTCTAAAAAGCAGAAACAGATGCGCTACACCGCAGCACAAAGTAGCCTGTCATTTGAAAAAAAAAAAACTGAGCTAAAGGCTAACCTCAGTGGACATGCTGAGGTTTTGGACGTGGAGGAAATTAGCACAGAGCATGCTTTAACTGTGTGTGTGTGTTTGTGGTAAGTTATACTGAGTCTCTGCTGTTGGTTTGACTTCTTTTTTTTTCTGAGACCGCTGAGCAAGTTAGAGGAGTCTAAACATCCTGCCCACCTTCAAACTCAGCCCACTGAAATGAAGTTCAGTTTCAAATCGTATCACTTTTGATAAGATGGGTTTCACAGACAAACTGTGTCAATTACTGAGTTTTTCTTTCTTAGAGCGACACACCCTAAAACCACTGTGAGATTTCCCATCCTATCTGGTCGTTCTTGAAAACTTGTGTCGCAAGACATGTGGCTAATGTTTTTCTTGTCTCTTTTCTTCTTTTAGGCTGTCGAAGAGGGCATATATACGGTGAGTTTTTAAAATAGGTAACACTATGTTGTGTTACATTTACCTTCTACAGTTTTTTATGTATATTTATATACATTTTCTCATCTTCTCTCTCTCCTACAGGGTCTGACTCCTCATGCACAAGACACATACGAAACCATCGGCACGAAGAAGTGATCCTATTTGGTTGCGATGTTCTGTCTTTTCTTCTAATTTAAACATAACACATCATACTCAGCTTTTTTTACACCAGTGTCCAGTTCCCCATTTTGCTTTTGTTGAATTGAGTACAAACTGAGGAGGAAGAGACAGAAAAGAGAAGTGAAGCCCAGCATGGGCAGCTCTCAGAAAGGCTCTTTATCAGTGCTGTATGAGAAACTCTTCCTGTTCTGATGCGCATAAACACATTTTTATCTTGATAACTTCTCTCATGCAGATACATTTAAATGTTTGTGTATAAAGAAGCTGCAAAAACATCTTATTACATTATGAGATTATACATTTTAGATATTTTTGAGCTAAACATGCTATCTAACACCTGATGAAAAGCTTCATTCTTATATTTTTTATATAACTTTGACAGGCTTTGTTCCCTTTTTGTTCTAATTTTTGCTCTCATGGTTTAATTTTTGCACAAGATAATTTAGGAGATAAGGCCCATAGGAAAGGCTATTGGAGGAGAAAAATCTAACATACTTCAGCGTCACCATTATTGAGCAGTAGTTCCCTCACACCACTGGATGGCAGTGATCGCATCTCCTTCTCCTGTCTAAAGTTGTTACTTATATGTACCATATTTGTTTTGTATGCATATTGACATTAAAAAACATTTTAGAAATATGGCCTTCACTTAAGGCGGCTCTATCTCATTCTTTTTCCCAAATCAAAAATATTTCATCTTCAAATCTTAACTGAAAGTTTCTCAATATACTGGTGGTGGCCTAGTTTGGGGAGTGGCGGCCAAATGGTTAATGCGGTGGTTGTGAGTTTGAAACCAACGGCCACAGACTGCCACTCTGGATCTCTGAGCAAGACCCTTGACACCCGATTGCTCTCCTGGAGCTGCACAGTGGCAGCCCACTGCTCCCCAAAGGGGATGGGTTAAATGCAGAGAGTAAAATCCTCCATTGTGAGATCAATAAAGTTCAATTTAATTTTTAATTTCCTGCTAGGGAATTTTTACATTAACAAAAAAGTGGATGTCAATTTAAATTTGGTTGTTTGAATTAAAAACATAAAAAGGACTCATTACTGGGACTATTTTTTATGAAAATAGCTTTTTATGTAAATAGCTTGTAGCACTTTAAAGGGGCCTTTGCATTCGCTGTGTCTATTTAAGCCAGAGATTGTGTGTTTGATGGAGACTGAATGCTGTGATGCTAAATAAACCTGCTGATACTTCAACTTCACTGAGCCTGACAAGTTCATTTTCTCACTGAAAATCCAGCCGAGAGGTCGCCTGCTTACAAGGACAATTTAAAATATGAGCAAAAGAAAAAGATGACAAATAAAATGATTTTGCTGTTGTTTGATGCATTTCATCAGTACCTGGAAGGACATTAGAATTTCTGAGTAAGGAAAATGTAATGCTGTTGCAAGCATCAAAAGTTATGATACTTTTAATGAAAATGATTTATGTAGAGTTTTCATTAATCAACCACTCATGATACAGCCTCTTGGGGGAGCATTAGACAACAGTATGAATTCAATTCAATTCAGTTTATTTCTATAGCACCAAATTCACAACACATGTCATCTCAAAGCACTTTACAGTTCAACCAGATCATACAGTCAAATTGATTCAAAGTTTTCTATCTAAGGAAAACCAGTTGATTGCATCGACTCATTGACTCAAATACAATTCCTCACACTAAGCATGCTTGTAGCGACAGTGGAGAGGAAAAACTCCCTTTTAACAGGAAGAAACCTCCAGCAGAACCAGGCTCAGTGTGAGCGGCCAACTGCTGAGGCCGACTGGGGTTCAAGGAGACAGAATCCGAGACACAAAAAGCAGCTGTAAAAGGCGACCCCGTCCAGGAAACACACAGCCAGGCAGACGAGCTCCGAGCCAGCTCCCATGCCAGAGGACGAAGAGAGCACATCCAGTCAGTCACGGTCAGAGAAACAGGACTACACTGGAAAACAGGCCGATCTCCAGCATCTATAAACAAGGGTGTTGATGGAAGCAGCACAGCTGATGTTTCTCTCCAGGATGGCGTCACAGCCAAACAGGAACAGACGAGGCAAAGCTACTTTGAGGAAAAGCAGAGAGAGCAGAACGTTAGAGATTGAACTAACAGATTCTGCAGAATAGGAGAACAGAGAGAGAATGAAGCAGAATGATGAAATGGGGGTCCCTATGTCCTCCAGAAGTCTAAGCCTATAGCAGCATAACTATAGAGATCGCTCAGGATAACCTGAGCCACTCTAACTATAAGCTTTATCAAAAAGGAAAGTTTTAAGCCTAGCCTTAAAAGTAGACAGGGTGTCTGCCTCATGGACTAAAACTGGTAGTTGGTTCCACAGGAGAGGAGCCTGATAACTAAAAGATCTGCCTCCCATTCTATTTTTTAGAAATTCTAGGAACCACTAGTAAACCTGCAGTTTGAGAGCGAAGTGCTCTGTTAGGAACATAAGGAACAATCAGATCTCTGATATAAGATGGAGCTTGGCCATTGAAGGCTTTATATGTGAGAAGGAGGATTTTAAATTCAATTCTTGATTTAACAGGAAGCCAATGAAGAGAAGCCAGGATAGGAGAGATGTGATCTCTCTTTTTCATTTTCATCAGAATTCTGGCTGCAGCATTTTGGATCAGCTGAAGGCTTTTAACCACAGTTTGTGGACTTCCTGATAATAAAGAATTACAATAGTCCAGCCTTGAAGGAACAAATGCATGGACTAGTTTCTCAGCATCACCCCTGGACAGGAGATTTCTAATTGTTGCAATATTCCTCAGATGAAAGAAGGAAATTCTAGAAACCTCTTTGATATAGGATTTAAATGACAGGTCCTGATCAAAAATAACACCAATATTTTTTCCTTTATTATCTGAAATCAGTTTAATCCCATCCAAAAAAAGTGACTGGCTAATCAGCTTCTTTTTCAAAGACTCTGGTCCAAAGACTATAACTTCTGTTTTGTCTGCATTCAGAAGGAGAAAGTTAAGAGTCATCCAGGTTTTTATGTCTTCAAGACATGCCTGTAATCTATGTAATGGGTTAGCTTCATCTGGATTTATAGACAGATATAGCTGGGTATCATCAGCATAACAGTGAAAATTAATCCCATGCTGTCTAATAATTCTACCAATTGGGAGCATGTATAAAGTAAAGAGAATTGGTCCTAGCACTGATCCCTGTGGTACTCCACAGGTAACCTTTGAGCATGTTGAAGATCTGTCATTAACATGAACAAACTGAATTCGATCAGATAGATAAGATTTAAACCAGTCTAGTGCTGTTACTTTAATTCCAACAAAATATTCAAGTCTTTCTAAAAGAATATTATGATCAACTGTATCAAATGTAGCACTAAGATCCAACAGGACGAGCACAGATACAAGTCCATTATCTGAGGCCATGAGAATATCATTAGTGACTTTCACCAGAGCTGTTTCAGTGCTATGATGAGATCTAAAGCCAGACTGAAACTCTTCAAAAAGTTCATTATGGTGTAAGTGATCGCAAACTTGTTTGGCAACTACTTTCTCAAGAATTTTAGATAAGAAAGGAAGATTGAATATAGGTCTATAATTGACCAAGTCATCTGGTTCAAGAGACGGTTTCTTAAGCAGAGGTTTAATTATAGCAACCTTAAAAGCTTTAGGTACATATCCCTGTAACAGAGATAGATTAATCACATCTAAAATGGGGGAGGAGATCAAAGGGAATACCTCCTTAAATAACCTGGTTGGAACTGGATCTAACATACAAGTTGAAGGCTTAGATGAAGACAATAATTTTGCTAACTCTGAAAGTTCAACTGGATCAAAGCAGTCTAAAGCCGGTTCAGATTCCATGACTACCTCAGGTACAATCGCGGATAGAGGAGTGCTTATGATCTTATTTTTAATAAGATCAATCTTATTTATAAAGAATCCCATAAAATCATTACTTCTAAGAGTCGGTGGAATGGACGGTTCAACTAAGCTATGGCTCTGGGTGAGTTTGGCAACTGTATTAAAAAGAAATCTAGGATTATTCTTATTCTCCTCTATTAATGAGGAGAAGTATGCTGCTCTTGCTTTACAAAGGGTCCTCTTATACAGCAGTAAACTATTTTTCCAGACTAGGAAGGACTCCCGCAGGCCTGTGGAGCGATATTTTCTCTCCAGTTTCCTAGCATTTTGTTTCAAAGTGTGCAGCCCTGCATTAAACCAAGGAGCAAGCTTTCTATTTTTAACAGTTTTCATTTTCAAATGAGCTGCGTTGTCTAAGGCAGTACGGAGAGAACTAGCAACCCCATCAACAAAATCATCAATCTGTAAAGGGGAATAAACTAAGCTTTTGCACTCTGCAGCACTGCTCAACGACCCAGAGGAGAGAGAAAGTGAAACAGATACTTTAAAATGTATAACTGCACTATCTGATAAAGGTCTACTAAAATTGAACCTTCTTTTGGGGGAGGAGAACTCTGTTAAAGTAATCCTGAAGGTTATTAGAAAGTGGTCAGAGAGGACAGGGTTGTGAGGAAATACTGTTATTTCTTTACATTCTATGCCGTATGTCAGCACAAGATCCAAAGTATGAAGATGAGAATGTGTGGGACTATTCACATTTTGAACAAAGCCAATAGTGTCTAAGATAGCATTAAAGGCTGCTCTAAAGCTATCGCCTTCAATGTCAGCATGGATATTAAAATCTTCCACTATGATGACCCTGTCAGTATTTAATACCAAATCAGAAAGGAACTCTGAAAACTCATCTAAAACTTGAGAGTAAGGACCTGGTGGATGATACAAAGTTACAAAAAGAAGAGGTTTTCTTGCTTTGAAATTTAGATCAGGGAAATTAAGGGTTAAATGTTCAAAGGAGTTGTAGGTATTAACTGTTTTGGGAGCAATCAGTAAGTCAGACTGAAAGATTGTTTACTACTCCTCCTCCTCCCCCAGAACTTCTGTGTGTGTGTAAATTTAAGTAGCTTGAAGGAGTTGCCTCATTTATGCTCACATAATCCTCTTGCTGCAGCCAGGTTTCTGTAAGGCAACATAAGTCAATGTGATTATCACAAATCAAGTCATTAACTAGCAGACTTTTAGAGGAAAGAGATTATGTTAAACAGACCACATCTAATTGTTTTAACCTTTTCCCCAATTGGAGTTATTTTAATTTTAATTAGATTATCATGATTTACTCCTTTGGGAATATTTGCTAATTTATTAGATTTTGGTCGTGGGCATGACACTGTCTGGATGGAGTAAAGAGTGGGTAACAGTAGAGAAGCTGCAGAGATGTGTGTTAAACTACAACTCTGCTTGAGTATAATTGACAAGAAATACACCATTACTGACTATTAATAACTAGTTGGCCTGATTCTTTTAAAAACTCCTTTGGTTTTCCGATCTGGTGTGTTTCCACTTGTAAACGAAACTTAAAGGTTTCTTCCACGGAGGGAAACGCATTGATAAGTGTTTAGGATTCAACCTGAAGTCAAATTCCTGACCTGAAAACAGGTTTGAGAATATCTCATGGAGAAGATAACTAAGATTATTGATCAAACAAAAGCTAAACAATGTTTAATGTTCTTGGACATTCTTGATTAGGAAAGTGCAGCCTTTAAAAACACCTGTCTTACCAAGTATTGTCTCTGATCTACCCTTAGCATGTATTGATGGTTGACTGCCTAGAAAAATTCTTATTTCACTGACGTTAGTTGAGGCAGGGGTTAAAAACACCACAGGGCCCATCGTTCCAGGTGTTCTGTCCCCTGTTTGTGGTTGTTAATGCTTTCCTAAAATATGGAGGTAATGTCATGTTATCGGACCACTTGACTCAGGAACCCAATATGAACACCAACGATAAGGCAACTGACTGAATTCCTCCTAACCAGATTCAGAAGAATTTAGCATTCTTCATCATTGCTACGGCAATATATAGATTCAATTGAATAATAATTAAAATGAACTTACTGCTGCTAAACATGAACAAAATAATGAATGAAAATGCGAAGAAGAAATAAAAACAAACTCTTTACTGGGCAGCTACCAGACATTTTCTATCTCATTAAACACAAAGACAAAGCAGGCAAACAGGGAGGCAACGTAATAGTTTATAATAAAGCCTTCCACTGAGTTAACATATCTGATTTTATTATGATGGCGTATTTAATTACTTAAATAAAGTTATAAACTCTACTTGTTTTTTTGTGTGTTTGTTTTTTAGATTATTTTAGAGCTGAGTTCTGTTAACAAATATTCCATTACATTATTTCTTAGGCTTTTTTGATTGTGACCCTACTTGAGTTTAATGAAATCTCTACTTATTTTACTTATTGTACTTATTTTAAATATAGCTTGTAAAATATACTAACAAAAAATACTAACTCATACAATCTTATTAGGAATAGTAGATTATTGGTTCTCTTATAGCTCAATTTTCTAAAAGAAATTGATTTGTTCTAAGATTAATTCTAGTTATCAAATCAACAACAGTAGTTCATAACCAGGTCAGGCAGTAGCAAACAATTCTTCTTCATTCAGCACATTAATAGACATCGTTTTAGACCGTTATTTGATTAAAAAAATATTTTTGAACTGAAAGCTTTATCTAGCGCATCACAGCAGCTTTTCCAAAATAAAACTAGCTTCTTTTAAAGCAGTTCTTACATGCGATCTCTTAAACATGTCAGTGCCCCGTAAATTGTATTTACTTTGTACCAGAGTTAACCTTATTTGTATAAATTAAGGAATTTTATTATATCAAATGTGAAACATGAATATATATATATATCATCATTCTGCTTCATTCTCTCTCTGTTCTCCTATTCTGCAGAATCTGTTAGTTCAATCTCTAACCTTCTGCTCTCTCTGCTTTTCCTCAGAGTAGCTTTGCCTCGTCTGTTCCTGTTTGGCTGTGACGTCATCCTGGAAAGAAACATCAGCTGTGCTGCTTCTATCAACGCCCTTGTTTATAGATGTTGGAGATCGGCCTGTTTTCCGGTGTGGTCCTGTTTCTCTGGCCGTGACTGGGTGGATGTGCTTTCTTCGTCCTCTGGCATGGGGGCTGCCTTGGAGCTCGTCTGCCTGGCTGTGTGTTTCCTGGACGGGGCCGCCTTTTACAGCTGCTTTTTGTATCTCTGCTTCTGTCTCCTTGAACCCCAGTCGGCCTCGGCAGATGGCCGCTCACACTGAGCCTGGTTCTGCTGGAGGTTTCTTCCTGTTAAAAGGGAGTTTTTCCTCTCCACTGTCGCTACAAGCATGCTTAGTGTGGGGGATTGTATTTGAGTCAATGAGTCAATGCAATCAACTGGTTTTCCTTAGATAGAAAACTTTGTATCAATTTGATCTGGTTGAACTGTAAAGTGCCTTGAGATGACATGTGTTGTGAATTTGGCGCTATATAAATAAACTGAATTGAATTGAATATAGCTGTAAACAGGTTGATCAAGTTGTAAATAATGCAAATGAAAAAAAAAAAAAACTAAAGAACAAAACAAAAGAAGGAAAATGGAATTAGTAAATGTTTTTGATGCTTAGTCATATAGGGAACAACCAGTAACATCAAAAACAGCCTCATCAATCCATTTTTCTTTAACTTTATACTATTAAGGAATTTTCTTAGAAAAAATCACTTAAAATACAGATATATGTTTTTAAATCTATATTTTCATCAAGAGTAACACACAGACCATTTATTACTCATGTCCACCAAATCACAAGACAATCAGCACTGATCAACTTATTGGTGGGAATCTCTCTACTGCTGGATGATATATAATTGTTTTTTGACAAAAATCATTTACATTCAAGCATGTTTTTATGCTTCTTAAATCCTTGAAACCATCTGACCAATGTGACAGATTTTTTACCAGAGTAAAACACATTGTACCTCAGGGGTACAATGACTGACCCCTGGGGTACTCCATAGTTAACATTGTTAATCTCTACTAACTGCTGTCTGTTCTCTAAATATCTCAAAACTCATTCATGTTCTAGGGATTTAATGCATTTAATAACATATTTTCCTACATTTTTTATAGATCTAGAAATAAATGTACAACTTAATATCTCTTTCCTTTTCCAGCAGATTCTTCAAACTTGAAGAATTTCACCAAACTTAAACTGATTACCATAATTTTGTGTTTATAAACACAAAATCATAAATTGAAACTCAGGAAACAAGTCTTTCTAGAAAAAGCAACCTTTTTTTATAAAGTGGAATAATTTTGGCTACTTTTATATTTTCAGGAAATATTCCAGTAAAGAACACTGAATAGCAAGGTTTCTCTCTGGTTCTTTAACATACTAACATAAGTTCAGGTAATGATACCCCTGAGAGACTCAACACAGCTTCTTCGTGATCATGTGGATCTGCTGCCACACGGTGCTGAATTAGCACACTGACAGAGTTGTGCAGTGTTTCTGCACACATTTATTTTCTTGTCCTTTTATTCTTGTCTGTTTTTTTAAATGTTTTTTGTTTCCACAATACACAGTAGCATTGTATTGTTGTGATCAATTCAACAAGTTTTTAATTCCAAAGAGAAATTGGGCCTTGTGTTCTGTGGAGTAGCGGTGCGGCAGGGGTCATTTTCATGGGGCACAGAATGAAAGAATAAAAAATACAAAAAAAATAAAATAAAATAGAACTATAGAGCAATATTTTAGTATATTTAGTTAGACACAAAGCCCCCCACATTAACAGATGAAAAATGTGATTTTATTTTAATACAGTTAAAACTAAAAGCTCACTGTAACTTATAAAAACGTAAAAGTAAATTTTAATAGTGAAATATTAAGTGGATCCAAGTAACTTCTCAGGTTGGGCCTCTTCTATCTTAGAAAAACAGCGTGATCATCTTTACTCCCTAAAAACTGTCTGAGCTTCTGGAGAAAATAATCTGAGCTAAACTTTTTTAGGCGCTGGTCTCAATTTACAAAGTTGTTTTCACTTTCACCGCCCTCAAATAGCCTCAAACACTAGATGGATTTGCTGACACTCCACATTGTTTGACTGTATGATCTGGTGAACTGTAAAGTGCCTTGAGATGACTTGTGTTGTGAATTGGCGCCATATAAATAAACTGAATTGAATTGTCCACATTAAAGCTGCCAATTTACAAAGGGGTTTTCACTTTCACCGCCCTCAAATAAGCCTCAAACACTAGATGGAGTGGCTGACTGTTAGAATAATTGTATATACATGTATCTGTGTAGTGTTATCATGCATAAAGCTGTGTGCTATGTGCATGTTTTCACAGGCACCTTTTCTGAAGTATACTGTGATTTGTGAACTTGCTTTTGGGGAGGTTGTGGTTGATTTACGAGCAGCACTCAACCTGCTGAACTTTGGTGAACAGCTTCAACCGCGTAAACTTTGCCTGAACCCTGAAAGTTATAGGATGTTTACTGAGACTGCAAGTCTGAATTTTTCATGTTGTTTCTGACCTCTAGAGCAGTCTCAGCTGTTGTAACAAGGGACCCCTGATTTCTAATAAATAACGAGCAGAACGCTGGGACCGCAGAGTGAGGTGGAGATTGTAAACTCTGCAGTCCCTTCCTGCTCTCCTCGCGAGTAAAACTAAATTAATTGTCTCTGTGCCTTCTTTCTTTCCCTGTATGTATGTATGATGTTTTAGGTGCTTAGACCTGACACTGACACTCCACATTGTCCACATTGAAGCTGCTGTCTTGGCACCACCCCTCTGGTTTATTTTCTTCCTGTATGCTGATTATTTATATCCATGAGTGAGTAGGTAAATACGCCAAAGAATATTACCCTACTTATGCAGAAACTGAATAGAATATCACATCCCTTCAGCACTGAACCATTATTGTGAGAATAAAGGAGCCTAATGAAGGTAGATTTGTTTATATCTTTTGCCCAGATTATATCCCATTGTGACCTTTATGTTTAGGATTATATCTCTTATACTTAAGGGGTCATTAGTTTCCTTCAGAGGGAGGAGGCAACTGCAGTTTCATTCTCAGCCTTGTTCTTATGATCTTCACTCTGTGTCATTGGGACGTGGTTTAAACAGGTTTTCTCGGGCATGCTCATTCACTTGCCTCTCCTCTGTGCAAGTAAAGAAAGGAAATTGACTGTCATGTCACCTCAAGTTTGAGGTTTTTGACTGTGTGAGAAGCAGAGATAAGGCGGAATTGAGAAGTAGAACACAAACAGGTGTATGACTTAGAACTGCACCTTCTCTCTCTGCACTCCTGAACCGATGGCTTTTCTTCACTCCTGGGTAGAATCTCTCAGCTAGCAGATTGACATATTCTTCTCTCAGGACGGCTTTTTGGACAGGACCAGGATTTTTCACAGAACAAAGACATTCTTGAGGATGATCACACAGCATGAGGCATAAAGGCACCTCATGCTCTCCAATTTAGGATCCTTTTACCTGGACTGATGAGCCTCACAGCCATGCTGAAAGTGTCCCAGGTTTTGCACAGTTAGGAGGAACTCCAGAGGAGGATGACTTCTGTTCTGACAGTGATGTTTAACTTCAGTCATAATTTTCTTTTAAAAGACCAATTAACGTTTGAAAGCATGCACAAATTGAAACATAAAAGGAAGAAGCCAGTCTAAACTGAAAAGTATTGGCTTAGAACCATACAGCTCTTTACACTTAGAGAAAACAATTTGTTTTGCTGCTGATGCTGCCGCCTTTATAAGCAGCGCCCAACATCATTACTACCCCAACACCAGCAGAAACATGAATGCTAGCATATTGTTGGGTTCCCTTTAAAGCTGAAGTCTGTAAGTTTTTAAAAATCACTTTTTTGTCATATTGGCTAAAACTGTCCCTATGCCCAGACAGCAGTACATGTGATATGTAACCTGTGAAAAAAACTGCTTCAATTGGTACCGCCTACTGCCTGTATTTCAATCTGGAAAGAATAATTCGGGACGAGTCAAAACAACCAATCACAGCCAGAGGAGCGTCTGATGGAGTGCCAATCACAGCTCACACACGCTGAATCCCGCACCCCCCCCCTTCTGGTCGCATGCGGTAGCCGCGCAGATGCTGTGAGAGGGGTGGAGCTTGGAGGTGGGGCATGAGTGAAGCAGAGAGGGTGGGGGAGTGACGTGAAACCTGTTTTTCTTCAAATTTTCAGTCGAAGTCTGCTCTCTACTCAATGTTACAGACTACAGCTTTAAACATGACTGTCAGACAGTCAGATTAGGGTGTTTTCTGAGCAGCACTGCCAGCACATCTGGCTACATTACAGAGGTTGTTATGATATGATACCAACTGTCTTTAATACCTGCAGGTAGAACAAGGCACAGCTTAAGTTAATCTCTTATGTTAATTTAAACAAGCAGAAAGGAGTGGTTCAGTAATTCTAAATAATTTTCTGTGGAAAGAAAGCCCCACATCATGGCATATTGTTAGAATAATTGTATCTGTGTAGTGTTAGCATGCATAAAGCTGTGTGCTATGTGCATGTGTATATAGCCATATTTTCTGAAGTATACTGTGATTTGTAGATTTGCTTTTGGGGAGGTTGTGGTTGATCTACGAGCATAATTCGACCTGCTGAACTTTGGTGAACAGCTTCAACAGCTTAAACTTTGACTGAACCCTGAGATTTAGAGGACATGTTTACTGAGTTCCTTATATGTACAGAGAAAAGGAAAACCAGTTTAAAGTTATTGTGCAAAAGGTACTGATATGGAAAGGTTCATTGCAGTGCAAATAATTAAATATGGAGCAAAACGTAGTAGAAATTTGAGTTGTGTTCTATTAAAAGGGATTATGAGCCATGTTGGTAGTGCAAATATGATGTTTACTAGTGTGATGCAGAGTCTTGATAGTGCCTTGATTAGAGTTTCAACAGTTCAACAGTCTTATGGCAGTGGGCTGTTGCATAACCTGCTGGTCCTGCAGTGAATGCTGCCAAGCCTCTTCCCAGAGGGCAGCAGGGAGAAAAATGCGAGGTGGGAGGGTGTGAGGGGTCACTGATGATGTTCTAAGCCTAAACCTAACCACAAGTTTGGAGAATAAGGATGTCAATTTTCTCATAGAGCTGCTTTGGGTGTTATCATCCCAATAAATGGCTGCTATTAACGGATATCAGTCCAATAGAATGGTTTCAGATTGTGCCTGAACAGAATTTTAATAGCTGCATTGATCCATATGTCTCCCTTATTAAACAAGCGAAAAACAACAAATCTCATCTTGTCAGTTTATTTATTTATTTTTTTTAAAAACCCATTAAATCTAAGTTTTTAAAGTAAAACTACAAAGTTTTTTTTTTTTTTTTTTTTTTTGTAAGTAGGTACATTGTAAATAAAGTACAAAAAAAGTATGAAGTGGGTAAATAAAACTTAGGATTTAAGACATGGCCAAAGCGGCTGATCAGTGGTATACTGCATATTATGGGCCATAAAAAACGTACTAGAAGGTAGAAGAGGAACTGTCTAAAGCCATTCTAGAGGGACGATTACATTGTTCAGCCTTGGTAGCTTGTTTACTATAGCATATAAAAAACAATGTGGCTTTGTATCTAAATAACCTCACAAATAAAGAAACTGTTAAAACACACACACAAAAAAAGAAACGGTACAATTGTCGGTATTGTGTAAATGTGTGTAAATTACAGGCATGTCTTCAAGACATGCCTGTAATCTATGTAATGGGTTAGCTTCATCTGGATTTATAGACAGATATAGCTGGGTATCATCAGCATAACAGTGGAAATTAATCCCATGCTGTCTAATAACTCTACCAAATGTGAGCATGTATAAAGTAAAGAGAATTGGTCCTAGCACTGATCCCTGTGGTACTCCACAGGTAACCTGTGAGCATGTGGAAGATCTGTCATTAACATGAACAAACTGAATTCGATCAGATAGATACGATTTAAACCAGTCTAGTGCTGTTCCTTTAATTCCAACAAAATATTCAAGTCTTTCTAAAAGAATATTATGGTCAACTGTATCAAATGCAGCACTAAGATCTAACAGGACGAGCACAGATACAAGTCCATTATCTGAGGCCATGAGAATATCATTAGTGACTTTCACCAGAGCTGTTTCAGTGCTATGATGAGATCTAAAGCCAGACTGAAACTCTTCAAAAAGTTCATTATGGTGTAAGTGATCGCAAACTTGTTTGGCAACTACTTTCTCAAGAATTTTGGATAAGAAAGGAAGATTGGATATAGGTCTATAATTAACCAAGTCATCTGGGTCAAGAGACGGTTTCTTAAGCAGAGGTTTAATTACAGCAACCTTAAAAGCTTTAGGTACATATCCCTGTAACAGAGATAGATTAATCACATCTAAAATGGAGGAGGAGATCAAAGGGAATACCTCCTTAAATAACCTGGTTGGAACTGGATCTAACATACAAGTTGAAGGCTTAGATGAAGACAATAATTTTGCTAATTCAGAAAGTTCAACTGGATCAAAGCAGTCTAAACCCGGTTCAGATTCCATGACTACCTCAGGTACAATCGCGGATAGAGGAGTGCTTATGATCTTATTTTTAATAAGATCAATCTTATTTATAAAGAATCCCATAAAATCATTGCTGCTAAGAGCAGGTGGAATGGACGGTTCAACAGAGCTATGGCTCTGGGTGAGTTTGGCAACTGTATTAAAAAGAAATCTAGGATTATTCTTATTCTCCTCTATTAATGAGGAGAAGTATGCTGCTCTTGCTTTACAAAGGGTCCTCTTATACAGCAGTAAACCATTTTTCCAGACTAGGAAGGACTCTCGCAGGCCTGTGGAGCGATATTTTCTCTCCAGTTTCCTAGCATTTTGCTTCAAAGTGCGCAGCTCTGCATTAAACCAAGGAGCAAGCTTTCTATTTTTAACGGTTTTCATTTTCAAAGGAGCTGCGTTGTCTAAGGCAGTACGCAGAGAACTAGCAACCCCATCAACAAAATCATCAACCTGTGAAGGGGAATAAGCTATGCTTTTGCACTCTGCAGCACTGCTCAGTGACACAGAGGAGAGAGAAAGTGAAGCAGATTCTTTAGAATTTATAACTGCACTATCTGATAAAGATCTACTAAAATTGAACCTTCTTTTGGGGGAGGAGAACTCTGTTAAAGTAATCCTGAAGGTTATTAGAAAGTGGTCAGAGAGGACAGGGTTGTGAGGAAATACTGTTATTTCTTTACATTCTATGCCGTATGTCAGCACAAGATCCAAAGTATGAAGATGACAATGTGTGGGATGACTCTTAACTTTCTGCTTCTGAATGCAGACAAAACAGAAGTTATAGTCTTTGGACCAGAGTCTCTGAAAAATAAGCTGATTAGCCAGTCACTTCATTTGGATGGGATTAAACTGATTTCAGATAATAAAGTAAAAAATCTTGGTGTTATTTTTGATCAGGACCTGTCATTTAAATCCCATATCAAAGAGGTTTCTAGAATTTCCTTCTTTCATCTGAGGAACATTGCAAAAATTAGAAATATCCTGTCCAGGGGTGATGCTGAGAAACTAGTCCATGCATTTGTTACTTCAAGGCTGGACTATTGTAATTCTTTACTATCAGGAAGTCCACAAACTGTAGTTAAAAGCCTTCAGCTGATCCAAAATGCTGCAGCCAGAGTTCTGATGAAAATTAAAAAGAGAGATCATATCTCGCCTATCCTGGCTTCTCTTCATTGGCTTCCTGTTAAATCAAGAATAGAATTTAAAATCCTCCTTCTCACATATAAAGCCTTAAATGGCCAAGCTCCATCTTATATCAGAGATCTGATTGTTCCTTATGTTCCTAACAGAGCACTTCGCTCTCAATCTGCAGGTTTACTAGTGGTTCCTAGAATTTCTAAAAGTAGAATGGGAGGCAGATCTTTTAGTCATCAGGCTCCTCTCCTGTGGAACCAACTACCAGTTTTAGTCCATGAGGCAGACACTCTGTCTACTTTTAAGGCTAGGCTTAAAACTTTCCTTTTTGATAAAGCTTATAGTTAGAGTGGCTCAGGTTATCCTGAGCTATCTCTATAGTTATGCTGCTATAGGCTTAGACTTTTGGAGGACATAGGGACCCCCATTTCATCATTCTGCTTCATTCTCTCTCTGTTCTCCTATTCTGCAGAATCTGTTAGTTCAATCTCTAACGTTCTGCTCTCTCTGCTTTTCCTCAGAGTAGCTTTGCCTCGTCTGTTCCTGTTTGGCTGTGACGTCATCCTGGAAAGAAACATCAGCTGTGCTGCTTCCATCAACACCCTTGTTTATAGATGTTGGAGATCGGCTTGTTTTCCAGTGTGGTCCTGTTTCTCTGACCGTGACTGAGTGGAAGTGCTCTCTTCGTCCTCTGGAATGGGAGCTGGCTCGGAGCTCGTCTGCCTGGCTGTGTGTTTCCTGGACGGGGCCGCCTTTTACAGCTGCTTTTTGTGTCTCTGCTTCCGTCTCCTTGAACCCCAGTCGGCCTCGGCAGATGGCCGCTCACGCTGAGCCTGGTTCTGCTGGAGGTTTCTTCCTGTTAAAAGGGAGTTTTTCCTGTCCACTGTCGCTACAAGCATGCTTAGTGTGAGGGATTGTATTTGAGTCAATGAGTCAATGCAATCAACTGGTTTTCCTTAGACAGAAAACTTTGTATCAATTTGACTGTATGATCTGGTTGAACTGTAAAGTGCCTTGAGATGACATGTGTTGTGAATTTGGCGCTATATAAATAAACTGAATTAAATTGAATTAAATCTACATGCTGAAATGTACTACTTCTGTAGAGAGTGGGCTGTTTTCAAGTTATGCAATAATAGTCTATGTGTGATCATACTTCATCTTTGAAAGAAGGGAGGAATCAACCAGTCCTTCAGGAGATCATCTTTCACCTAATTTGCTAAATGTGGTGATAATTCAATCTGATGGAATGATATAACTAAAACTGGTGATAACATGCTCAAAGATCAAAAGTCAGTTATGTGAATTAAAGTTCAGCATCTCTTTGGCCTACTATATGCATTTATTCTGAGATTAAATTACCCATAGCTGGACATACAGGACTGGAGCATGTGACGACATTGTTTTCACTGAATTTTTATTTAGTACTCTAAGGATAAAGAAGACTGAATCTAAATTATTGCAAAACCTTCAAGATATTATGTTCTAAAAAGAAAATATTATATATGCTTTTCCTTCAACTTCATAATTATTTGAGCGTTAGGAGTGTTATGAACAAAATCAAAAAGAGCTGAAAGTCTTGCTGCAATAGGTTACCTGCAAATACTTATTATTTCATCAATCTTTATGTTTCAGTGACGGCAAAACATGGAGAGTCTGAGGATGATCCATCAAAGCTTTCCTTACAGTCTTTGGAGGAGAAGGAAACAGTCTTGCCCTGCCTCTATGACCAGAGCGGAGTCAGTATAGTTCAGGTTACCTGGCACAAGATAAAGTCTGATGGGACCAATGAGCTAATTATCACTTCACACCGCACCGACGGCCAGACAGGTGGGTTATTTTACTTAAATCTTTTTTACCTTTTTTGTTGACATACAGTTTCAAAAATCCACTTTTAAATATTTATCATTTCTTTCCCCACATTATTTCTATAGCTTTCCATAGTCTTGCAATAGTCTTGTATAGTTTTAACATCTTTGTTCAAAAAGGTGGAGGAAACCCCCCCAAATATTTAATGTGTCAAAACTTTTGGTCTATAAAATAAATACTGGGACAGATACATTAAGCAGTCATGTTCACAATTTGCCATAAATCTCATGTTGTTTCTGTGAGAATGTTAATTGTTTAAAACAGGCAAACAAATAAGGCATAACGTTTTTAATTAGTTAAAAAAGCCAGAATCCTTGTAGGTAAAGTGTGAATTCTAGACTGAGAACTTGATAAGGGTTTTTCATCAAATCCATTCATTTTTCACAAATCCTTTGGTCTGGATGAAACAAAATCAAAGTAAGTAATTATTCAGCAGTTAAAACCATAATTGGTTCTTCTTTCTTAAAGAACACATTTAGTGGAATGTATTAAAAGGAAAATGGCCGTACCTATATAACACCTTTTTTTAAGTTAAGAGACTTTTTTAAGTCAAGCGCATTACACTACATGCTAACTACATGCAAGCTAAACTGTAGCCACCACTGCTCCGGGGTTCATTGATAAAAGAAAGGCTGCTGCCTTTCCCCATCCACATCCTCTAAAGCAGGGGTAACCAATTAAACATAAGCAGGGTCCGAATAAAGAAAATCAACGACCGAATTTAACCCAGAATAAAATGAGGTTTCTATGCATCCATCCATTTTAAAATCTAAAGGTTTTTCCAAAGTAGAGAACAACATAGGTTCAGTTTGGTATATAGACAATTTCCTGATTCACATATTTTATAAAATATCTGAAATGACAGTTTGTCATTTTTTTCTTCTTTTTTCTGGCTTAATGAGAGCAGGTGACGTTAGAATGCCTTATAAAGGTTTTAAACCTGGGTTTGAATGGAGACACCTTTTAGCACATCATTTCACTATTTGTTCACCAGTTCACCACACTTTCTCTTCTCTGTTTTTCTCATTGTCTTCCCCTTCTCTCCCATCACCTGGCTTGCCACAGTTTTGCCTGCTGTTACTAAAAAATGCTTGCCGCAGTGACCCGGACTAACACAGCTCATTGGCTTTTTTGTATCACATGTAAGCTGTTCCGGAAGGCCACATGTTAACAGGAGAAGTGGCACAAGTGAAGTTAGACACTTTCTTCAGACAAAAGCGGTATTTTATAAATGTTTTAAATCAGGTTGGGTCTGGATTAGCCAGCAGGTGGGTCCGGATCCGGACCTTGGTCCGCTAATCTGTGACCTCTACTCTAAAGGGACGACTCTCACATGAAACTAAACAGTGAAGCTGAGGATTGGTTACAGAGACCAGTGCTGAGGCTCATGCCAGAATGAACAAAGAGAACTGAATCAGCACTTTTTTTTTTATAAAAGCTTGGTGTTCACTTCCTCACATGAGTACAGCAATGTATTACTACATGGGTATAATCTCATAGGTTTATGAAATTAGGGGTACCAAACCATAATCTACGTTTTTCTGAAGCATTGTAATCAAACTGTTACTATGGCTGGACAAAAATGAAGTATCAATATTTGTCACAATACAATGTTATTCAATAAAGGTGAAATGATACTTCTGAAATTTAAAAAAACATTACAATCTATTATTACAGTATTTATCACTGGCAGAGGTTCAGGGGTATCATGTTGTTTAATGCGTTTTATTTGTTTTATAAGATCAATACTTCTAAAATTGTATATTTGTTGAGTTTTATAAACATTTTAAGATAGAAATTGGCATTCTTTCTGAGGCTTCTATTTTTGCTATATCAATATTCAGATCATACTGTATCAACCAAAATGAAGAAATATATTGTGACATAAGTTTTTGTAAGATCTGCTAGCCTTACCTGGTTAGAGAGTATCTCATTATTAAGGACTCTATATATATTAAAATGTAATTTAACTCATTAAAATGTAGCTTGTTGACAGAATTTGGGTAACACTTTACAAGAACATGTTTTCATAATCAGTATTTATAAATTGTAGAGAGAGCTTTTATTGATTATTAACATATAGTTGATTAATGTTTGATAGTAATTTCAAAATCGCATCTAAGCCATTTGTAAATGGTAAATAGATTCCCCTGGCATGTTAGTTTATCCCAAACACTGACATCAGTGGACTTAGGTCCTTCATGAATCAAACATTAATAAACCATCTTTTAATCGAACATAGATGGTATTTTTACCATTTATAAATCATGATTATGATGGTTTTTGTAACCAAAATTTGTATCATGGGTAACATGAAATACATCTAGGGGCAGGAAATGGAAAGTATGCACAGACCAGCAAGTAATCTTAAACCAACAGTGACTAGGAAATCCTAACTATTTTTCTTTTTTGGGATCACTTTAATAATCTGTTGACTACTTTTTTCTTATTGCCCCCTCTTTGTGCGCAGCTTTCGGGACATGGGATGGCCGTGTGCGCTTCAAAAGCAGTCAACCCACAGTGGACTGGACTCTGGTCATCATAAGCACCAAGGTCTCAGATGAAGGCGATTATATGTGTCTCATCAGTACCTTCCCAACAGGGAATTTTGAGAAAAAGATGTCTGTCATCGTCTGGAGTAAGTCAATCCCTCATTTTCCTGATGTAATGTGGGTAAAGGTGAACACAGTATAAGTGAAACATAATAAATTTAAGCAAATTTCTAATTTTTCTTTAGTTACATAAATCCTCTGCAAGGATCTAAAGTAGTATTTTCTTTTCTAAATTAAATGGCGAGTTTTAATTTTCCCAAAGCCACACCCTTCCTTTCAATCTAGTTAAAGTTTTTTCAAGGAATAATCAAACAGTGATGGCTGGCCAATAGAGGGCGCTGGGGTGCAGCCCCACCCACCCAATGACTTTGATTAAGACATAAAAAGAAAAAAAAGTTAATTATAAAATAAAAGTATTTTGAAATATATGAATATATTTCTTATATGTGCAAGATAAATATTTACTCTTTAATAAGGAGTACAGCTGTTTTATTCAGATTGGTGACGTATTTCCGCCCTGGGGTGCAAAAATCTTTGGCCATAGACACCGGTAAAACGTTTTACAAGCGCAGTAGCCCCTCTGCAATACAGAAGTATAGGACGGCTCGGGGTGAAGGAAAGCTGCGCCCGAGCTGACAGGAACAGTCGTCACAGTCGTAGTGCGGCTGATTGAGTCGCAGAAGTGACTTAAAGCAAACTTACCAAGAAAAGCTGGAGGTGAAAGCCTTTGGACCTGATCAGCTGAACATCAAAATGAATCAGCTTGGCTAAATCCATGCAGCGAGGCTCTCACTTTAATTTGCTTTACCTGCCTTCCTTTTCAAAAGTCAGGATCTGACCTAGCACTGATAAAGACAGGTAGAATGGATTCAAAGCACTTTTTAGAAAAGGGAAAAAAGAATGAACAATCTGGGATTCACATGGAAAAAAATATAATATAGTGTACTTTTTCTAGGTGTATTTTAATTCTATAGTTGCTCTTAGATAAACACATTCTCAAAATATATATATATATATATTAAAGAAATATAAAGATGACTAATAGCTTCTCCATTATTAAGCTATTACATTATTTTTTTAGGTCAAAGGGCAAAATGTATGTACAATAAGTAAACCTGTACATGAAATTAGGGTGTTGTTTTTATAAAGTGTCTTTATAATGTTTTCAGTTAGCTAACTAACTGAATGAAGTTTTTGACATCAATAATTATAATAAGTTATTTCAGTCTTAAAGCAATAGGACCAAAGTGTTAGCTTAATTTGAGATTTATGAAAGGATTTTTTTAGGTCAATATACAGCATTTGTAGGGTAAATGCATAGCACCTTGTGCTGTACAGGAGTGATGAGCTGCTGTGACATGTAAATCATCTAACATCTTTGGGCAATCAGAATTCAGGGGGATCCAGTGCCCACCTTTTACCCCCTCTACCTCCGCCCCTGCCTAAGACATATGACAGTCTAAGCTCCTCTTAAACACGGCTGACTAAGTTCAAGTTGTTCTAGGCCAACCAAACTGATCTAACCTTTACCTCAGGAGGTGATAGTAGTGTTGTAACTCCATGACTTCTCAGTCTGCTGATCCGGCGTTGTCTGCTAAAAAGCTCAAACTCATGTTGGAAGGTGTTTCATTTCTCGACAGCTCAATGTTGTCACTTGCTTTCATGGGTGTTAAACCTGGAAGTAATGGGCCTGGCGCCGCTATTGACTGAAAGTTGCACACTGTCGCTTTAACCAAGTGTTATGTGCTTTTAATGAGAGGCAGATCAATTGTAAAATTCCCTATTGAACTTATCTGAGTCTTCCTAGTTCTGCTGAACTACAGTAACATAACAAACCTTCCTTCCAGCTACTCCAATCACTGACCTGGTTCTTCACAATGTAAAAGAGGGTGACCCCTACAAGCAAGTGGCCTCCTGTCGCTCCTTCGCGCGCCCACCGCCTCGGCTCTCTTGGGACACGGAGCTTAATGGTCGGTCTGTAAACCACACCTCTGAAAGCTGCCAAATCTCCATAAACTACTACCTGCACCCTGTGAGGGGTATGAATGGAAAGAAGCTGGACTGCTTGGTGTGGCATCCAGCTTTTTCTGAGCCACGCAGGTTGAAAAGTGCTCTGGTGGTGCATTGTAAGTATTCAGTAAATGATTCAAATGATTTTGATTAATATCAAATACTTCTACTCTTCCTTTTCAGCAGTTCTCTTCTTGTTGGTTTTTAGAAAAGCCCATCTACGATAACCACGGTCATTCAGGGCTGTCCTAATGTGTCCCTGTTCTCTCAACCTCCCTCTGTTGGTGGTGGGAATGGTTTCTGCTTGTGTTTGGTGGGTTCTGATGAAGCTTAATTTGTGTTCCAGTAAGCATGTGAGGCAAAACGGTGGTACTGGTTGGTGTGTGTGGGTTTCCTGTAGACTTCCAGGAAGGCAAGGCTTTCAGCTTTCACATCTTCCCCGTTGAACTTAATGTTTCTTTCCACTATGTTGATGTTTTCTGTGAACGTGTTGATATCATTGGTCTTTATTTTGACCCATGTCTCATCCACGTATCTGAACCAGTGACTGGGTTTTGTTCCGAAGTATGACTGTAGCACTCTGCTTTCCACTTATACCATGTATAAGTTTGCCATTATGCAAGACACAGGAGAGCCTTGGTTGAATTGGAAGTATGTTGTGGTGAGGCAAAAGTCCAATAGAGAACAGATGTGGTCAGATTGGTCCTATCTGGGAGAGTGTGGTCAAAAGTAAGCCATCGATAGGCAACAATACTACTGACTGAAGCCATTCCTTGGACCTACAGCCTCCCAAAAATACACAAGGAAGGAGCTCCAACTCAGGCCCATCATCAGCAATATCAACTTTGTCACAACATTGCCAAACATCGCGCTCCCATCCTCACTCCTTTGATTGGCGACACACCATTTCACATTTCTAACTCACAGGACTTCTCCAACGGGGTAAAAAACCTGATGCTGGACACAGATGAGACCATGGTCTCCTATGATGTCACATCTCTTTTTCCTTGCATCCCCACCAAAGAAGTAGTCTCCACAGTAAGGATGTTGTTGGGTTCAAAAATGTAGGTTTGTAAAAGAAGAACTGAAATACACAGTAAGGGATTTTCAAACAGCTTCCTGCAGGAGGAGAGACAGAACTGCACCCAAGGCTCAAGCACTCTGCCTCTCCTGGACCTCCTCTGCAGAGCGCTTTATTAACAGAACATAACACATGGTTACAAACAGTATTGTTCTGACAGGACAGTTGATCAGGTCATAAGACATAAGACTTGACTGAATCACAATCTCATTTCTACAATGTTTCATATGAACACACATTAATTTTATAATCATCATTGAATAAACCCAACAGATGTGTTTACTTCAAGACAGATTTCTGGAGGGATCCAGTGCCCCCTAGCTGTTTTAAAGCCTCCCTAGCTTTGCCACTCTCTAACCTGAATAGAAATATATTTGTTGTTCTCTGATGTAGGATTTAATATGGTGGGGTGATTGTGGTCTTTACTTTATAAGTAACTCCAGGATTTCTAAATCTGCTGGTCCAAAGTTGTCTGCTAATAGGTTCACCCTCTTAGGGCTATACATGAAAAGAATCTGTTCTGCATGGTGTGGCATGAAGCTTTTCCAAAGCCCAGCAGTTTAAAATGTTTTTGTGCATTATGAGTACTCACTAAACGTTCATATCAAGTATTTGTAAGGTATATTTATTACAATAGCCCTTTCATATTCTTGGAGAACTGTGTGAACATTTCATATGTAAAATGTCACCACAGTCCAAAGGAGCCAAAACATGTGGAAGCAATAATATCTTGCCTGACTCGTGCATAATAAAAGGAACCATTTTTTATTTATTGAGACTCTGTTTCTATCAGATTTATATATTCAACCCAGCCTCCTTTATTGTCCTTCACCATTATACTGGCCACTGCAACATGTTTTACAGTCTGCAATGGTTAAAACACCATTGTCTAAAAATAATCTGTAAATGGCTCCACACACTAAGATCATCAAGGAGATATGGTTCTTTGTACCCAGTTTGCCTTCTCTTCTTAATTCTCTATTTTTTTCCCCCTATCATCCAGCTGTTTTCACAGAGCCGGAGATCTGTTATGTGCCCCAGATGTGTTACGTGCTGCTTGGCATTCTTTTCCTGTACGGCATCATCCTGACTGCGCTCTACTGCAGAGTCAAGGTTCGCATTCCATGTCATTTCATCTGTGTTTAGGATGAAGCAAATATTGCCTAGTCAGTAAAAGCAATGAAGACTACTGACTGAAAAATAATTCCTACATCAATACTTTTCTCACACTACAGTGTATAGTAATAGAACAAATAAATGATTTGCAGAATAGCTGTTATTTGTGTCTCAGAGGTTTTATTTCAGTTCATTTATTTGTGTTTTCAGAGGTTTTATTTTGATGTCAGCCAAGAGTCATTAAGAGAGGCTGTATCTCGTCTATAAGGGAGTGATGATCAATATTGTCGAGGCGGCTTATCTGAGCTGCGGGCGCAAGGTTGTCGGTGCCTGTCGTGGTGGCAACCCTCGAACCTGCTGGTGGACACCTCCGGTGAGGGATGCTGTCAGGTTGAAGAAGGAGTCCTATCAGGCCTTTTTGGCCTGTGGGACTCCGGAATCAGCTGATGGGTATCGGCGGGCGAAGCGGCATGCGGCTCGGGTGGTTGCTGAGGCAAAAACTCGGGTGTGGGAGGAGTTTGGAGAGGCCATGGAGAAAGACTTCCGTACGGCTCCGAAGCGATTCTGGTCCGCCATCTCAGGAGGGGGAAGCGGTGCAGCACCAACACTGTTTATAGTGGGGATGGTGTGCTGCTGACCATGACTTGGGACGTTGTGGGTCGGTGGGCGGAATACTTCGAAGACCTCCTCAATCCCAGCAACATGCCTTCCATTGAGGAAGCTGCGCCTGGGGACTCTGGGCTGGGCTCTCCAATCTCTGTGGGCGAGGTCGCCAAGGTGGTTAAAAAGCTCCTCAGTGGCAGGGCCCCGGGGGTGGATGAGATCCGCCCAGAGTTCCTCAAGGTCCTGGATGTTGTAGGGTTGTGTTGGCTGACGCGACTCTGCAACATTGCATGGACGTCGGGGGCAGTTCCCTTGGATTGGCAGAATGGGGTGGTGGTCCCCCTATTTAAAAAGGGGGACCGGAGGGTGTGCTCCAATTACAGAGGAGTCCTCGGATTCAGGAAGAGCAGTGTGGTTTCCGTTCTGGTCGTGGAACGCTGGACCAGCTCTACACCCTCAGCAGGGTCCTGGAGGGTGCATAGGAGTTCGCCCAACCAGTCTACATGTGCTTTGTGGACTTGGAGAAGGCGTTCGACCGTGTCCCTCGGGGAGCCCTGTGGGGGGTTCTCTGGGAGTACGGGGTGCCGGGCCCTTTCATACGAGCTGTCAGGTCCCTTTATGACCGGTGTCAGAGTCTGGTCCACATTGCCGGCAGTAAGTCGGGCTCGTTTCCGGTGAGAGTTGGACTCCGCCAGGGCTGCCCTTTGTCACCGATTCTGTTCATTACCTTGATGGACAGAATTTCTAGGCGCAGCCAAGGTGTTGAGGGGATCCGTTTTGGTGGCCTTAGGATTGTGTCTCCGCTTTTTGCGGATGATGTGGTCCTATTGGCTTCATCAGGTCGTGATTTTCAGCGATCGCTGGATCGGTTCGCAGCCGAGTGTGAAGCGGCAGTGATGGGGATCAGTGCCTCCAAATCCAAGGCCATGGTCTTGAGCCGGAAAAGGGTAGAGTGCCTTCTCCGGGTCAGGGGGGGTGTCCTGCCCCAAGTGGAGGAGTTTAAGTATCTCGGGATCTTGTTCACGAATGAGGGAAGAAGGGAGCGGGAGATTGACAGGCGTCTGCCGTGAAGCGGGCGCTGTACCGGTCCGTCGTGGTGAAGAGAGAGCTAAGTCAAAAAGCGAAGCTCTCGATTTACCGGTCGATGTACGTTCCTACTCTCATCTATGGTCATGAACTCTGGGTAATGACCAAAAGAACAAGATCGCGGATACAAGCGGCCGAATTGGGTTTCCTCCGTAGGGTGGCTGGGCTCTCCCTTAGAGATAGGGTGAGAAGCTCGGTCATCCAGGAGGGACTCGGAGTAGAGCCGCTGCTCCTCCACGTCTAGAGGAGCCAGTTGAGGTGGCTCGTGGACGTCTCCCTGGCGAGGTGTTCCGGGCAAGTCCCACCGGGGGGAGGCCCTGGGGCAGACCCAGGACACGCTGAAGAGACTATGTTTCTCGGCTAGCCTGGGAACGTCTTGGGGTTCCTCCTGAGGGGATAGAAGAAGTGGCTGGGGAGAGGGAAGTCTGGGCCTCCCTTCTTAAGCTGCTGCCCCAGCGACCCGACCCCGGATAAGCGGAGGAAGATGGATGGATGGATGGATTTTTATATTTCACCTAAAAACTTAATCTCCAAACACAATATGTATGACCAAAAATAAATTTGCACTTATAGATGATGTCATTGAGTTAACTTTTGCAATTAAAATTAAACAGTATGCCACTGGGATTTGTTTTGATAAAGTAGAACATAAGTCATTACTAAAAGCTACGTGTGAGAGGAGTGGCCCTTTCCTGGCTCGTTAGGTATCTAAATAGAAAAGAACAGTTTGTTGAAGTAGATCATGTGAAATTATAAAATATTAAAATAAAATATGGAGTTCCGCACGACTCGTTTTTCAGACCATTATTTATTTCGTTTATTAATGATATGTGTAATATAAAATAATTGAAAGAGTGTCTGGAATGAAGTTTCTTGGCGTAATAATAGATGAAAAATTGAGTTGGAAAAAACACATTAATTACATTAATATAAAAATGTCCCACTTAGTTACAGTTTTATACAAAGTTAAATATTTTCTAAATCAATAATCTTTGTATTCCTTATAATGTTACTTTATACTACCACCTTCATGACATATTGTGATAAAGTATTGGAAACACAAGACAACAACCAATGCGATAAGAAAAAAACCTCAGCTATGTCTGTACAAAAGAAACAGTTTCTTTTATGCAGACATAGCAGCTATTTAAAAAGCCATCTAAAAAATTCTAAGCTCTTTTTCAACATTATTTTCCCTATCTTCCTTTATGATTAAAAAAAGCTTGTCTCTGTTGCCTTCTTAACTAAAACAGAGGTCAATTGATGACATGTTCTCATCTTCTAATTTTTAGGTTTAATCATACAATGTCAATGTACATGAGAAAAGTATTGAAAAATGTATGGAATTGATGTGATTGGTGATAATGATTTTGGTGATTGTTAATCAGTGACTGGCCCCCAATTCCTGATCGGTGCGTCTCTATTCTTATGTCATTAAAAGTGTAGATTTACCATTACTTTTCTGTTTTATATGTTTTATAGATCCACAATTCCAGAGAGGCCAGGGAACGCAAAGGAAAGTCACAGCAGGTAAGAACACCTGCATGTCTAAAATGAGACTTGTTGTCTAAAAAGCAGAAACAGATGGGCTACACCGCACCACAGCCTTTCAGTCGACAAAAATGAGCCAAAGACTAACCTCAGTGGACATGCTGAGGTTTTGGACGTGAGAGGAAATTAGCACGAAAATGCCTACATACGTTAACTGTGTGTGTGTGTGTGTGTGTCTGTGTGGCCATGTCTTTAATACCTGGTGGGGACAATTTCCTAGGAATATGCTACATTTTGGGGACTCATAGGTACTTGTGGGGACCAACAACTGGTCCCCATAAGGAAAGTTTCTCTTCTTGGGGTGGGGGTTAGGTTTAGGACTAAGGTGTGAATTGAGTTTAGGGAGAGGTATGTGTCGGTAATGGTTAGGGTTAAGGTAAGGGTCACGGTTAGGCCATATAAATTAGTGGGAAATGAATGGAAGTCAATGGAAGGTCCCCACAAGGATATTATGACACAACGTGTGTGTGTGTGTGTGTTTTGTGGCAACTTTTACTAATACTCTCTGCAGTTGGTTTGACTTTTTTTTTCTGAGACCACTGAGCAGGTTAGAGGAGTCAAAACATCCTGCCCACCTTCAAATTCAGCCCACTGAAAAGAAGTTCTGTTTCAAATCGTATCACTTTTGATACGATTACTGCTGATCAGTTTCTGCTTCTGTTAGGTTTCACAGGAAAACTGTGTCAATTATTGGGTTTTTCCTTTCTTGTGAGATTTTCCATTAGTGATCTTGTCGTTCTTGACAACAAGACACGTGGCTAATATTTTTCTTGTCTCCTTTCTTCTTTCAGACTGTCGAAGAGGGCATATATATGGTGAGTGTTACATTTACCTTCTACAGTTTTTTATGTATATTTATAAACATTTTATCATCTTCTCTCTCTCCTAAAGGGTCTGACTCCTCATGCACAAGACACATACGAAACCATCAGCATTAAGAAGTGATCCCATTTGGTTGCAATCTTCTGTCTTTTCTTCTTATTTAAGCATAACACATCATACTCAGCTTTTTTTTTTACATCAGTGTCCAGTTCCCCATTTTGCTTTTGTTGAATTGAGTACAAACTGAGGAGGAAGAGACAGAAAAGAGAAGTGAAGCCCAGCATGGGCAGCTCTCAGAAAGGCTCTTTATCAGTGCTGTATGAGAAACTCTTCCTGTTCTGATGCACATATACACATTTTTATCTTGATAACTTCTCTCATGCAGATAAATTTAAATGTTTGTGTATAAAGAGGCTGCAAAAACATCTTATTGCATTAGTAGATTGTACATTTTAGATATTTTTGAGCTAAACATGCTATCTAACACCTGATGAAAAGCTTCATTCTTATATTTTTTATATAACTTTGACAGGCTTTGTTCCTTTTTTGTTCTAATTTTTGCTCTCATGGTTTTAATTTTTGCACAACATAATTTAGGAGGGAGATGGCCCATAGGAAAGGCTATTGGAGGAGAAAAATCTGACATCCTTCAGCGTCACCATTATTGAGCAGTATTTCCCTCACACCACTGGATGGCAGTGATCGCCTCTCCTTCTCCTGTCTAAAGTTGTTACTTATATGTACCATATTTGTTTTGTATGCATATTGACATTAAAAAACTTCTCTTTTAGAAACATGACCTTCACTTAGGGTGGCTCTATTCTTTTTTCCAACATCAAAAATACTTAATCTTCAAATCTTAACTAAAAGTTTCTTAATATACTCGTAGTGGCCTAGTTTGGGGAGAGGCAGCCAAGTGGTTAATGCATAGGGATTGCAATCTTGAGGTTGTGAGTTCAAAATCCACACCCACAGACTACTACTCTGGGTCTCTGAGCAAGACCTTTAAACCCTGATTGCTCCCAGGGTAATGAGCAGTGGTAGCTCACTGCTCCCCAAAGGGGGTGGGTTAAATGCAGATAATTAATTTCTCCATTGTCATATCAATAATGTTCAATTCATTTTTAATTTCCTGCTAGGGGATTTTTACATTGACAAGAAAAATTTGGAGAGCAATTTAACTTGGTTTGTTGAATTAGCATATATAAAGCATATAAAAAAGGAAAATTTAAAGTAGGGGAAAATAAATTCAGATTTAGAGAAAAAGCTAAAAATAAATAAAATTATTTTGCTGTGGCTGATGCATTTCATCAGTACCTGGAAGGACAACATTAGAAATTCTGACTAAGAAAAATCCATTAATTCCTCTTGAGATTAAAAATTCAATTAATATTCAAACTTTTCATGCCTTTAAAACCCACCATGGCTGCTGAGTGTATAAAAATGTAGGATTTATGTAGAACTGTTAAACGTCTGCATTAAATCAACCACTTATGGTTCTGTACAGCCTCTCTTGACAAGAAATACACCATTACTGACTAATATTACTAACTAGTTAGCCTGATTCTGTTAAAAAAAAAAACTCCTTTGGTTTCCAATCTGATGTTTTTCACTTGTAAACAAAAGTTAAAGGTTTCTTCCACAGAGGGAAACACATTGATAAGTGGTAAGGATCAAAATCCTGACCTGAAAAGAAGTTTAAGAATCTGCCCTTTGGTGTGTTCATCTCACACAGAGAAGATAACAAAGATTATTGATCAAACAAAAGCTAAACAATGTTTAATGTTCTTGGAACTTTCTGGATTTGGAAAGAGCACCTTTTAAAAACATCTGACTTTCCAAATATTGTGTCTGATCTACCCTTAGCATGTGGTGATGGTTGACTGCTTAAACAAATAACTAATTTCACTGATATAGTTGAGGCAAGGGTTAAAAGGAAAACCAATATGAACACCAACAATAAGACAACTGAAAAACATCTGACTTTCCAAATATTGTGTCTGATCTACCCTTAGCATGTGCTGATGGTTGACTGCTTAAACAAATAACTAATTTCACTGATATAGTTGAGGCAGGGGTTAAAAGGAAAACAATATGAACACCAACAATAAGACAACTGACTGAATTCGTCCGAACCAGATACAGAAGAATTTAGCATTCCTCCTCATTGTTACAGAAATATATAGATTTATTTAATTGATTAATAATTAAAATGAACTTACTGCTTTTAAATATGAACAAAATAATAAATGAAAATGAAATAAGAAATAAAAACAAACTCTTTACTGGGCGGCTAACAGACATTTTCTACCTCTTTAAAGACAAAGCAAGCAAACAGGGAGGCAACGTAATACTTTATAACAATAAAGCCTTCCATTGAGTCAACATGTCTGATTTTATCATGATGGCATATTTAATTCCTTAAATAAATAAATTCATCAACTGTACTTTTTTTAAAATTATTATTATAATTATTATTATTTTATAGATAGATTATTTTAGAGCTAAGTTCTGTAAACAAATATTCCATTACATTATTTATGACACTTTTTTTTATTCTGATCCTCCTTCAGTTTACTGAAATCTCTACATATTTTACTTATTGTTACTTATTTTATAAATAACTTGCAAAATATGATAGTATACTAACTCATGCAAGCTTATTATGAATAGTTCTCTTATAGCTCAATTTTCTTAAAAGAAATTGATTTGCTCACAACCTATGATTAATTCTAGTTATCAAATCAACAAGCTTAGTTCATAACCAGGTCAGGCAGGAGCAAAACTTCTTGTTTCTGCCCTTATTATATTTACAAATTCAGCACATTTATGGACATCGTTTTAGACATGAACATGTTGCTAAACACTTAGCCACATCCAAATATGGAAAACATTATCAATTCTCATTCCATCCATATTTTTGAACCGAAAGCTTTATTTAGCTCATCACTGCAGCTTTTCCATAATAAAACTAGCTTCTCTTAAAGCAGTTCTTACATGCGATGTGTAAAACATGTTTGTCCCCGGTAAATTGTATTTACTTTGTACCAGAGTTAACCTTATTTGTATAGATTAAGGAATTTTATTATATTTAATGTGAAACATGAAAATAGTTGTAAACAGGTTGATCAAGTTGTAAATAATGAAAATGAAAAAAAACTAAACAACAAAACAGAAGAACGAAAATGGAATTAGTAAATGTTTTTGATGCTTAGTCATATAAGGAACCACCAGTTAATATGTAACATCAAAAACCGCATCATCAGTAAATTTGTATTTATTTTTTTCACTAACTCAATACTATAAAGGAAATTTCTTAGAAAAAAAGCTTTTAAAATACAGATATTTACCATTTATTACTCATGTCCACCAAATCACAAGATAATCAGCACTGAGCAACTTATTGGTGGGAATCTATCTACTGCTGGATTATAATTGCTTTTTTAACACAAATTATTTACATTTAAGCATGTCTTCATGCTTCTTAAATCCTTTAACCTATCTGACCAATGTGTGTTTGAAAAAACGTTTTGGCACAATGACTGACCCCTGGGGTACTCCACGGTTAACATTGTTTATCTCTACTAACTGCTGTCTGTTTATTAAATATCTCAAACCCCATTTATGTGCTAGTCCTTTATTGCCTTTAATAACATATTTTCCTACATTTTTATATATATAAACACAATATGATTACCATCATATTGTGTTTATAAACACACAATCATAAATACATAACCCGGAAACAAGAATTTCTGAAGATAAAAAATTTGAGGAAGTAACCTTTTTATAAAGTAGAATAATTTATGCTACTTTTATATTTTCAGGAAATATTCCAGTAAAGAACACGGAATAGCAAGGTTTCTCTCTGGTTCTTTAACATACTAACATAAGCTCAGGTAATGATACCCCTGAGAGACTCAACACAGCTTCTTCATGATCATGTGGATCTGCTGCCACACGGTGCTGAATAAGCAAACTGACAGAACCGCCTACAGTATGTCAAAACACTAAACTGCTGTTAGAAAAGAGTGTTTTTGCACTTGTTTATTTTCTTGTCTGGTTTCTTATGTTTATTGCTTCCACAATACTCTGTATCATTGTATTGTTATCATCAATTCAACAAGTTTTTAATTTCAAAGAGAAATTGGGCCTTGTGTTCTGAGCAGTGGCGGTGCAGCAGGGGGGACAGGATTAATTATATGGTCAAAGCATAAAGTTCACTGTAACTTCCAAAAAATGTAAAAGTAAATTTTAACGCTGAAATATTAAATGGATCCAAGTGACTTCTCAGTTTGGGTCTTTTCTATCTTAGAGAAACAGCGTATTTATCTCAGAGCATGTAAGTGCAGTAGAGTGTGGAGCGGAGTGGAAAAAACATGTTCGAGTGGTTTTCAATTCAAAGGCCAGAGATGCATTCACAATGTCAAATAAAAATGTTGCATTATAAAATGTGTAAAATAGCATTTATTTGATTTAAGTGTGCTTTTTTTGACAATTAATATTTAAATAGTAAACGCGTTACAACATGAATGAAGCAAGTTGTTACAGTACGATAATTTAACAGCCAGTTAAATAAGACAATACACATGTATCGTCACATCATTAAATCAAATGCCCTGTGTCTCAGGCGCCTTGCATAATTAGATGAAGGAAAAATGTAAGAAAACACCTTCTCCTGAAAATTTGAACATAGAGCGATTTCGCTGAAGTGGCAGGGAAATTAAAGTGTGGATTTTGAGTGGAGTGTCCTGTCGCAATTTTTTGTGCGGTGGAGTGAATGAGCGGGAATTGCAAGGCGCTCCGTTCCGATCACATGCTCTGGTTCATCTTCATGTGGAAAAGCCTTGATTTATGTTGGTGAAGATTCTCAGTCATCCAGGTCACAGTCATTCCAAAAAAAAGATTAAAAAACAAACCACTGGACATTGTCTCCGAGTTTGAAGACATTTCGCTTCCCATCCAGGAAGCTTTTTCAATTCAAAATGTCAGAAATAGCGTTGAGTTCGAGGCTCTTCTACAGTAGCCCAACAAACATGCAAATTGAAACGGATAAAAGGGTCTAACCCCTTTGGAATGGGGGTCATTTGGCCTATTTTATTAGCCTGCAATACCCCATACCTGTCTATGTCTCTTCAATGGGTGTTGTTAAAGGTAATTTCTGACATTTTTAATTGAAAAAGCTTCCTTAATGTGCAGCAAAACGTCTTCATGCTTGTAAACAAAGTCCAGTGGATTTTTTGTTTTTTAAACTTTTTTAAGCATTGGTTTTCTCCCTAAAAACTGTCTGTCTGAGCTTCTGGAGAAAAGAATCTGAGCCAAAGTTTTTCAGACACTGGTCTCAATTTACAAAGTGGTTTTCACTTTCACCGCCCTCAAATAAGCCTCAAACACTAGATGGAGTGGCTGATACTCCACATTGAAGCTGCTGTCTTGGCACCACCCCTCTGGTTTGTTTTCTACCTGTATGCTGATTATTTATTCCCATGAGTGAGTCCCATCCCTCACTTTTGGGAAAATGAAACATTTTGTTAAATTAAATTTTTTCCCAATTTAACTAATTGATGTTTTTATTTGATTGTATACATTAAACTCAACTGAACGACACTAATTAGCTTTAGTTTAAATTTTATATTGGAATTGTCCCTGTGGGGAAGCGAAGCCTTTAAATGTTCTTAAATTGTGACATAAAAAAGCTCTGCTGTTTCTTGTTCAGTTAAGATAACTTTTAGGTAAATACAGCAAATAAATATTACCCTACTTATGCAGAAAGTGAAGAGCAAGATCACATTCCTTCAGCACTGAACCATTAGTGTGAGAATAAAGGAGCCTAATGAAGGCAGATTAGTTTATATCTTTCGCCCAGATTATATCCCATTGTGACCTTTATGTTTAGGATTATATCTCTTATACTTAAGGGGTCATTAGTTTCCTTCAGAGGGAGGAGGTAACTGCAGTTTCGGTCTCAGCCTTGTTCTTATGATCTTCACTCTGTGTCATTGGGACATGGTTTAAACAGGTTTTCTCGGGCATGCTCATTCACCTGCCTCTCCTCTGTGCAAGTAAAGACGGGAAAATAACTGTCATAATTTTTCACCGAACCGGAAAAGTGACTTTTTGAGTTTTTTGACCGTGTGAGAAGCAGAGAGAGGGCGGGAGTGAGAGGTAGAACACAAACAGGTGTATCATTTAGAGCTGCACCTTCTCTCTCTGCACTCCTGAACCGATGGCTTTTCTTCACTCCTGGGTAGAATCTCTCAGCTAGCAGATTGGCTTATTCTTCTCTCAGGACGGCTCTTTGGACGGGATTAGGATTTTTCACAGAATAAAGACATTCTTGAGGATGATCACACAGCATGAGGCATAAAGGCACCTCATGCACCAGGCTGCTCTCCAATTTAGGATCCTTTTACCTGGACTGATGTGCCTCACAGCCGTGCTGAAAGTGTCCCAGGTTTTGCACAGTTAGGAGGAACTCCAGAGGAGGATGACTTCTCTGCTCTACAGTCTCCTGCTGGGTCTCCTTGTGCTCCAGATCTTTGGTAAGATGAAGCTTTTCAATACCTGGATGAAACAGTATGAGGGGAATGGCCTGTATCATGATGATAAATATTAATGTTCTGAAGGCATAATTTCACAAACAGTCATGTTGATTTCAACATGCTGTCATTTTCATCAGATGTGTTTATGCAAATGTTGGATTCAAAGCTTAGACGTGGCTAGTTTGCTTAGCTTCAGATCTGGGCTGTTGGAAAACACTGGAGGCGTTCTGTGATAAATCAGGAAAAACAGGTTGCAGTTGACCAATCTGCCTCCTGATGCTTTGGAACTGCATGAACCCTTCTTATTTGTACAAGTTAAGCTGAAAAACACTGCAGGTCAAGAGGTCTTTGCTTCCCCCTGCTCTATTCCCACACTACAAAACATCACTACACACCTATTGATGACTCATCAACTGTCTGCTGTTTGGAAACCTAATCAAGTAAAATTTTCCAAAAAAAAAATCTTTGTGGTGATACATGAGAGTGTAACACCTGAGAATTAAATCTGTTTTCAATCCATGGAGCCATGGTTTTAGCATTATTACAGTAATGCAACACAAGCAGATTCCACAGCAAGGCCCAAAGCCTTATGCAGGATCAAAAACCTCCCTCACCGTAGTCGCTCAGTACATTCATCAGCTCTGATGGTAAACCTATGAATCACTCCATGCTCACTTTACTGTCCGGTATAAAGTAATAAATTCTAAAGCTGCACAACACTTTAAATTTAAGTTAATCCGCCTCCGAAAGCACAAACTTCAGTTTTAATGGGATTTTATATGACAGCTCAACCTGAACTAGTTTGTAACTGTAAAGGAATCATGCAGGTTTTTGACAACAAAAATCTGGAATATGTGGCATACACCTTGATCCAAAAGTTTATGAAGGTAGAATGTAGAAGGTAAGCCGCTGTCCCTTTTTTCTTCCTGGACAGTTTTGTATTTAGCCTTATCACTCTCCCTGTTTACTTGAACCAACCCATCTGTACCTGTTAAAAAGACGTGCATTATACCTTGTTCAAGCTGGTTTGCAGTGTTAGCTTTATGCTACATATCGCATTTTTATGTCAGAAAACAAAAATCTCTACTTTGGTTTGCTGGATTCCTGATAGGAATTCTGTTAGAACTGCAAGCCTGGACTTTTAAATGTTTTTATTTTACCAAGATCACTTCTACTCTATAGTTCAATTATGGATTAAAGCACTAATAATGATCCTGTCAAGCAGATTTATCCAAGGTTACCCCATATGGAGCACTGGAAGGCCAATTTATTTTATTTAACAAGGTTTTGGCCGTCGTGAAAATACTTTTCTATTAGGAGGAAAGGATGATCACCACTTTGCAAAGCAAAATGCCAAATGCTTATCGTGATCATCCTGACATGCTGAATAGCAATGTGCATAAGTTCCATATGGGTCTGAACAACATCTCTTTTCAAACCTTCCAGCGTGAAGCACCCAGTTTCTGCACTAGGTATCTAAATAAAAGAAAACACCCAAGTTATGTAGATAATCTTTGGTATCGTAGTAGTAGCCCTGCTGTCCCTGCCTCCCATTGCTACCACACATTGTGATGAAACTGCAGCATTCATTTGATTTCTATTTGAATTTTCTATTTCTACAAAGTGATCCGGTCTGTACATGACTGCAGGAACTGAAAATAGGTCCTCAGACAACACATTCTTTGTCAATACCATTTTTATGTTATTATAATGTTAAAAAAATCTATGTTTTTTTTTTTTTTTTTACAAACATAATGCCTATTTTCCCTAGGAGTTAACATGAAATGTCAGTAATCAAAGCTGCTCCTTAGAAAATAACACAGATAGGTTGGTTTTGGTAAAAATTTCTAAGAAGAATATTACTGATAAGCACAATATCCCAGATAATAAAATTGGACATGACTATCAAAGTGAAAACAACCCAAATATTTCTATGTTTTTAGATGGGTATATACTGTAAAAAAAATAATAATTTCATCCCTCAGAGAGCAAGAAATATATATGTAAAAAAAAAACTGCTATTACTGTATGGTGGGCGTGGGATCTGGGCTAGCATTCCAACATGAAAACAGAACTCTCCCACAGAGCAAATAAGAACTGGAATGTGTGGAAAATTTAAAGGAGTCAAGTCACGTACCATGACTTCTATCCAGTAGCTCTCTCTGGTTATATACAAAGACTTTCTAATTTAATTATAGTCCCCTGTTGGCTTATTATTTCTACGTTCTGCGTTTTAGAATATTGCTCATGTGTGCAATAAGTAAACTAATAGGTTGTGGCAAAATTATTTTCAGGCTAAGACAGAACTAAGTAAACTCTAAATGGAAAAATACTCAGTATATATTGCTTTATTTTAACATGAATATGTTTTGGGTGTTTTTTTAAGGCATATTTCAGTATGTTGCCCATTTAGCTTTTTCATTAATGCATCATCATGCATCATCATCATCATCATCATCATCATCAACATCATCAACAACTCATAGAACGGATGATCCAATAAATCTGTTTATGCCGATTGGTATTGAGTGGAAAATCCCATAGATACAAATAGTGAAACTGTTCAACTTTTCTACTGTACGTATCACTGGTTACACACAAAGTATGATTGGTCGCCTATTTGTTAAGGTTAGGCTCCATCCTCACCTTTCATCTAAAGACATTCAGCCCAGCAAAAAGCTTAATTACACAAACCACCAGGATGGGATATATGTCTCTTATCAGTGGAGAGTGTAAGACTTGTTGGCAAAAAATGGATTTAACTGCATATTTATATTTCTTTAAATTCAAATCATATCCAATCTGTTCTGAAAACAACATATACCTTAGGTTTATATGCTGTTTTAAAAGATCAAATAATGTCTAAGCATATAGTGAGTGAAACAAATAAGGAAGGACTATTGGCTTAGAACCCTACAGCTCTCTACACTTAGAAAAAACAATTCGCTTTGCTGCTGATGCTGCTGCCTTTGTAAGCAGCACCCAACATCCTTACTACCCCAACACTAGCAGAAACATGAATGCCAGCATATTGTTGGGATCCCTTTAACCATGACTGTCAGTCAGATCAGGGTGTTTTCTTAGCAGCACTGTCAACACATCTGGCTACATTACAGAGGTTGTTGTGATACGATACCAACTGTCTTTAAAACCCCGTGCATTGCATTGTAATACCTGCAGGTAGAAGAAGGTACAGCTAAGTTAAATCTCTTATGATAACTTAAAGAAGCAGACAGGAGTGGTTCAGTCATTCTAAATAATCTTTCGTGGACCCCCCACCCCCATCTGGGTGAATTGCTTCGGGGGGAATTACTCTTCCTCGCTATCTGGATTGCGGAAAACAATTTAACAGTTGTGTTTGCCTCAGGGTCTGTGCCAACGGCCTCCAGCAACGCACCAAACTTTAGGTTGTATGAAAGTGCATAGTGATATGATCGGAGCTTAAATGTGTTTTTATTTCACACTTGAGCACATCTACTTTAGGCGTTTAGTGTTGTGATAAAGAAGTGAAAATAGAGATAGATAGAGGAAGCTAGTATAAAAAGACATTGCCAGATAAGCAAGATCTCATATGTAGGTATTTTTTGGTCTTTCAGAAATAAAACTGCTGAACAGTTATAGCTGAGTTGTAATCCCACAAAGAAACACTCTGAAGGCCTCTAATATCTAAGTAAAAAAAAAAAGTATCTTCTATTTTTGTTTTTATCATTTTGTTTGCCATGTGCCTTATCTGACGCTAGGACTCAGTCAGCAGCAACGCGGGCTGCGTGTCTACATTGTAATTACAGCTGTCAGAGGGGAAACAATGAGTTTATTTGTATTAGCTTAATGTCCACAAACATTCATTCAGCTCCTCTTTAGCAGCACGCCAGAGAAAATAAAGCACTGTGACAGGTGCAAACAAGCTTGTGCACCTCAACTGTTAAATCCAGGTTGCAGAGTTTAACATCATAGCTATTTCTGCTTGTGTGTTCATTTTGAAAATGCGGCCACAAAGGGAAAAAAAACATCTAAGCATTGTCTGTTTAATTGTTAATGCTGTAGTGCTTCAGATACCTGATACGCATGAACATTGTGGGTAGACCTTCCTCATTCTTTGTGTTGAGGGGCCACTTTGACTGTGCTGTCCAGACGCTGAGGTAACCTCAGAGTTTGCTTTGAAAGTTTATCCTGGGCGACTAGTTCAGTGACATATCTTTGCTTGTACTCAGCCTTTTGGTAGACATCCTGCTTTCATTCTCCTCCTTGTTTTTCTGTTTTCCCGTCAAAAACTTGTAAAGCTTGATGGTATTCTGTCTGTATTGAAAAGTTTTATTTATCATTATCAAGACATCAGATTTAAAAAAGGACATTAGAATTTAAAGCTTGAGAGACATCTCCTTAGGGCAGTTGTTTGCAATTGATTTGATTTGGTACGTATTAAGCAAAGAGGCTGAATCCAAGTGCACACCACACTTTTCAGATGTGTTGTTTTACATTATATTTCAATCATCTAATTTATGTTGTGCTGTTTTTTTTTTTTAGTTTTCAAGTAGAACTTAAATAATACCCATCCAATCTGTTGTTGCAAAAGGACAATATGAAAGTTTTTTTTATGTTTCTGTTTCTTCCATATTATTTATTTTTCTGCCATTTCAGGTAGATTTGATTCTTATTTATTTCTTCGGTTTATGCACATTAAGTGTTAATTATGTCTGATGTCTTCATATTTGTTTACTTCTGTTGATTTTCCTTCCTCCCGCAGCTCCCATTCCCTTCATTGGTTCCAGCTGTTTGTCTCTCTGCTCACACCTGCTCATTTATGCCTTTTTCTTCTTCTGCCTTTGTATTTAAGCTCTCTGGTTACCAGTAATCCCTGCTGGGTTTTTTTTTTTTTCTGTGGATTTCCTTATTCTCTATTTTTCTGGCTCCGATTCTATCTTCTAGTTAGCTGTTATCTGTCATCGTCTGTTTATTTCTATTGTTTTTTTGTTTTGTTTTTTGGCCTGCTCCTTAAGTTATTTCTTTGTAAGTTCTCTTTTATAATCATACCCCTGCTAGGCCATGTATTTGAGTTCTCTCTTAATCACATTTTAAAAACTCTGTGTAGATAAAGAAAATGTATTATATTAATACATACAATGGGCAATTGAATATAATATACAATAGAACTTTGCATGTTAACAATGTCAAGTATTTGGTACCTTATCCAGGCTTTTGCTGATCTTTCTGATGACAGCTGATCTAGATTTTACTGAACAAAATTGTGGATTTCAGGGAGGGTGACAATGCTTATAGAAAAAGGAAATCAAAGTGGGGAAAATGTTGTTGTCATCACAATATTTAACAAAAATATTGCATATCTTCTGTTCTCGTTCACCCCTAGTAGATAACTATTAAACTATAATAACATGCATAGGTAAACATTGGTTTGTATCTAAATGGCCTCACAAATAAAGACATTTTTAAAACAAAACAAAGATAAAACGGTTTAATTGTCGGTATTATAGACATTTTTAGCACTCTAACCGCTGCCTGCAGGTAGGATCTACAATCGCAGTACACTGTGGCTTGTCAGGAATGAAGATTTTTTTTTCTCTGTGTCAATATGCATAATGAAGGGAGGAATCAACCAGTCCCTCAAGTGATTATCTTTCACCAAATTTTCGAAATGTGGTGATAACTAAATCTGATGGTAAATAAATAAAACTGATGATGACATGGTCAAAGATCAAAAGTCAGTTATTTGATTAAAAGCCAAGCATCTCGTTGATCTACTGTACATAAGAGAATAAAGAAAAAGGATGTTGATCATTTTTAGCACCATATCAGGAAGATACTTTTTTCTTTCTCCTGTCCAGCTGTGGGTTTATTTGCATAATTTTGAACATAAAATCTTAAAAAGCTCATTCATACCATATATTTTACTGTTGGATTTCTTTTTCAGAACTTTATTGCTCTCACGTTGGAGAAATTCACTTCTGCATTATGCCATCCCCTTGTACTGTACCCGAGGAGCAGTCTTGGATTAAGGATCTTGCTCAGGGATCCAGAGTGGCAGTCTGTAGGCTCGTAGCCTGTTTCTCAATATGTTGTTTTATTAAAACCTTTAATATTTATTAAATTAAGGGTTGCATGGTGGCACACTTTGTAGCACTGTTAAAGGTTCCAGGATCAATTCCTGGCCCGGGGTCTTTCTGCATGTAGTTTGCTTGTTATCCTTGTGCATGCCTGGGTTCTCTCTTGGTACTCAGGCCCCCTTCCACAGTCCAAAAACATGACTTTTAGGTTAATTGGCTCCTTTGGAGTGAGTGTGTGGCTGTATGTATTTGTGTGTCTCTGTGTTGCCGTGCAACAGACTGGCAACCTGTCCAGGGTGAACCCTGCCTCTCGCCTGTACGCTGACCAGCTCCACTGCCACCCTGACAGATGGACCGATATTTACAATTAAACTGAGATTTTATGGGACAGACTAGCAGTAGTAGTGCATAACCGAAAATGGAAAATTAAACAAAGCTTGACAAAAGAAATATTAAAAGGTAAGGATGATGTATAAATCAGCTGCAGACTTGGAATGCATGGACTTGAGTTGGAAGCTGTCTCTATAATTGGATTGAAATTCTGCTTTTTATGAGAAAGTTTCCCAACTATAAAAAAAGGAAGTGTTAGGATTCTTTTTTTATTGATGATGTGTGAGTCTGTTAAACCCTAAAAATACCTGCCTGTTGTCAGAATTAATGTTTTCCCAAGTAGTTTTACTAATTAGAATGGTTCCTCTGTTAGAATCAAAATGGCATTTTCTTTATGTATATGGCAGAGATTTGAGAATGGAATGAGAGCTGTGTCCTTGATCTAAAAACATGGTGTAATATTTTGATAAGGTTGAAGCCAAGAAGGTCTCCTCATTTACAAACATGTGTGATGTAATGATGTGATGATGTGGCATAATGGAGTTCTATAAAATGATTCGGGGCTGTTTTCAATGAGATGTGAGCACGGTTGGTAAGCAGCTGCCAAATGTAACTCAAAGCAACATCTCTGATCTGAGTAAGATTACAATTTCTATCAAAATTTGTTGTCTTGTATCATTGTTATGTAATACATTTACAATATAAGGTGTTATTTAAAAAGTGCCTCAAATGATCTCTTCTCAGGAAAGAGTCCGGGGGAGAAACACAAATCTTTTCTTAACACAAGGCAAAGTTATTTGTAAAGCACAGTTCAGTACGAAGACAATTCAAAGGGCTTTACATTAATTAAACCATAAGGTAAAAGGAAACTAAAAGTAGAATAAAAGCAAGCGGAAAAAGAAGCATACATGGTTTTTTATTTGGATCCAAATAAATAAATTAAAATGAGCGAAATAGAGTAAACCAAGTGATAAACAAGTGATGAATCCTAAACCAGCAGCAGCATTAAATACTTGGCTACAGGCCATTTACTGTAAGTCTGCCCCCTCTATTGTCAGGAGACTGTGATGAAAGGCCACAAGCACCACAAAATTATCATCAAGGCCTTTTTTTTTTTTTTTTTTTTTTTTTTTTTGTAACTTGAGGATGAAATGTTTTCCTTTTTTGTTAATTATTTAGCTAAACTTAGGCAGTTTGAAAAACTGTCTTTTAACAGTAGGTTTAAAATGTCTGCTGTGTTCCTTGTTGCAGGTTGTTCAGTAATGTCTTCCCAAACGCATTTAGTGGTTTCTAAAACACCTTGATTTATTCTGATAATAAATTCTCCATAGGTGGACTCAAAGAACTTGAAGCATGTGATTACTTTGTTTACACTGAATTCTTGTTTAGTACTCTAAGGGTAGAGGAAACTGAATCTGAATGATTGCAAAAGTTTCAAGATTTAAAAAAATATGTAAATATAAATGTTTTTCCTTCCACTTCATAATCATTTGCTTTTTCTTATCTGTGTCAAAAGATGACTTTGTGAGTTTTAGCACTTTTACCTGAACAAAATCCAAAAGAGCTGAAAGGCTTGCTGCAAAAGGTTACCTGCAAGAGCTTATTATCTTATCAATCTTTGTGTTTCAGTGACGGGGATACAGGGAGAATCTAAGGAAGATCCATCCAAGCTTACCTTACAGTCTTTGGAGGAGAAGGAAACAGTCTTGCCCTGCCTCTATGAACAGAGCAGAGTCAGTATAGTTCAGGTTAGCTGGTACAAGATAAAGTCTGATGGGACCAAGGAGCAAATTATCACTGCAAGCCCCACCGACGGCCAGATGGGTAGGTTATTTTACCTACATCTTTTTCACCTTTTTTGTTGACATACAGTTTCAAAAATTAGTTTTTAAATATTTATCAATTTTTCCACAATATTTCTATAGCTTTCCATATTCTTGCTATCTTACTTTCATGTATACTTTTAACATTTTTGTATAAACAAGTCGGAAAATAAAACATTCTTGCTTCATTTGTCAAAACTTGGTTTGATCTAAATAAAAAAATAACACTGACAGAGATACATTAAAGCAGTGATGAAGTTTTTTTTGTCACAAATCTCTTTTTGTATCAGTAAAAAGGATAATTATTTAAAATAAGCACAAAAAAACAAAAAAACATACACACAAAGACATCAACAACAACAAACAATGCAATTTTAATTGGTTAAAAAAGCAAGAATCTTTGTAGGAAACAGAAATGTGAATTCTAGACTGAGAACTTAATAAGGGTTTTTTTATCAAATGCATTCAGTTTGTATAATTCCTTTGGTCTGGATTAAACAAAACTAAAGAAAGTATCAGCAGTAAAAACAAGAATTAGTTCTTCAACTTTATAAAAGATTGATGTGATTCCAAAACTTTTACATGAAAAAAGTGCGCATTTTAAAAGTTAAATACTTTGAGAGGTTTTAATTGGTTGGTTAAAATGCTGCCCTGAGCCTTGTTTGTAATCGCCCTGACTTTTCATCCGTGGTCAGACGCCCCTGCGTCATCTCTTAGCTCTGTTACCCTAGAGACAGTGAAAACCACATCTTCTAAAGGGATGACTTTCAGATGAAACTAAACATAAACTCTTTTTATTCTAAGAGAAGCAGAGGGATGGTTACAGAGACCAGTGCTGAGGCTCATGCCAGAATGAACAAAGAGAACTGAATCAGCACATTTTTATAAAAGCTGGGTGTTCACCTCCTCACATGATGTCAGTAGAGCTATGTGTTACTACATGGGAATAATAGCATAATAAGGGGTGCCAAACCTTATGTGTTTCTGTAGCCTTCTAATGTTGTGAACAGGTTATGAATACATTAAAAACTGGAACTGGAAGTAATAATTTATTAATTATATTAATGTCATTCAAATCAATGATAAAACCAAGTAATTATTTTTAGTCAAATTATTATAACTGACAATTTGCTTATTTACCAGGTGTTATTAACAGCTTACCTTTGTGGCTGGACACTTTAGACCGTTTGTTAAAATCCAAGTTGTCTTCACCATCGGTAAATGTAATTTACTTGGTTAAAGAAAATAATCAGAGATATTAATTATTAACCACAAGGAAAATATTTGTCAAGTTGTTAACTCAAAGCAGTTAATCCAGTTCTTACAGAAATTTGGTCACTGCTATATATATTCACTAAGAACCACAACTGAAAACAACAAGGGGTTCTTTGTTGAACCAAGCAGTATTATTATTATTATTATTATTATTATTATTGTTATTATTATTATTATTATTATTATTATTATTATTATTATTATTATTATTATTATTATTATTATTATCCTATATTACTGTCCTTGAGGTTCATTAGTTCAGCTGTTCTAATGCACTGAAGAAATGTCCATCAGATTAGCAACATATATTATATATAGTAAAGTGGTCTTTGGTAACAGTCAAACCAATTAAATTTCACCTAACCCATAAATGAACAATCACAAATAAATTAATTTTATGTGACAGTATTGAGATTTTATGTAAACGAGCAGTGATCTGTAAGATGCAATTCTTGTCTTGCCATGGCAACCGATAGCCTAGTGGCGAAAACGACTAATAACAGCTGGCAACGCTAGTCAACAGGCCAGAGACACATTGTCGTGGGAAAAAAAGTATTCAACTATTCACCCCAGTTAAATAAACTGAGATCAATAGATTTCACTCAGTCTGCACTTTATTTTATCTTTGCAAAGACAGAACAGTTCATCATACGGCCTTGTTGCTTTGTAATCAACCCTGTTCTGATCTGGGAGCATTCGTTCCCCCTTACTAACACAAATGGAAAGCAGTCAGAGTCTAAACAAATTACTGACACTCTGGTTAAACAGTAGCATGTTATAAATTAACCTTGAGAAAGAATGTGGCTTGTTATGGGAAAAACTATGTCCTGTCTACGAACATCCCTCACTCAGGCATTGTGTGGCATTGCATGTGAAGTAAATAGTATAAATAAATATATGAAATAAGAGAAATCTAAATTTTCCAACCACAGTAGCTATAGGCTAGGGGGAGCATTATATAACCACAGGTCTGGAACTACAACATGCTATATCATGACAAATAAAAATTCTTTTGAGTCATAAAATTAAGTTGTATTCCACAAGATGGCCGACATACACAGATAACCTGACTCCGCCAGATGGATTTGCTCCACATATCCATCTGGAAACCTTCCGTAGAAGTAGTTTTGGAAAGGGGCGAAAATACTGGTTAGCTGATTGGCCTATGTTGGTGATAGACGGGCCAAATAAACCAGTCAGATCAACAAAGCATATGACGTAACAGCGACGACAAAGAGGAGCCAACTCATAGATCAAACTCTTGCCGAAACCAGTCGGGAGAAGAGCAAAAACATCTTTTCCTCTGAGAAAAGCCTCCAGAGCAGTGTTTTGCTCTTCTTTCAGTGAAGAAATACAGTGTAATTCCAATAAAACTTGCTCGATAGCCATGCTAACGCTAGTTTCATCGGCTGAAGCCGCCATGTTCTTTAGACTGAACAGTCGCGCTTCTTGTTGCGTCACACCTCAGCCCGCCTCAAAGCCAACGCTGATTGGACGTTCGTTTGGTGAACGGCTCCAAATTTTCTTTAACGGAGAGTCTCCAGACTGATTAGCGAGTGAAATTTTGAAAGCTCGCGAGATCAGGATGGTCTCACGAGGCCAATACACAGATGCATTCGAGAGGCAGTGTGTATGGTAGGATAACCATATTTCTGAAATCAAATCTGGAGACATTTCCAGCTCGTAGATAAAAAGAAATGCATCTCATCAAGATGAAATTAGGAAATTGAGACATTTACGGTTCCATTTATTTTTAAGGATTTATTAATATTAAAAACTAAATTCAAGTTTAAAAGCCATGTGTCTCTTCAGACTGTTAGTATTTCCTAAGATTAAGAAAATGAATAAATCGATAGCGTTATTATTAGAAAACTAGGACTGTGTCTCTGGGTTGGGAAAGGGCTTTTCCAATTCTGTGGGGCATAAAGAGCTTTGCCGCTCCATAAGGGGAGAGTGACAAGAGGAAAAGAAAAGTCTATGCCTGTGACTGTCTGTGGAGACAGAGTACCCCCACCTCTTCAAAAAACTGCAACAAATACTCCGTCTGTTCACATCTACATACCTATGAGAATTAGAGAACAAGTAGTGGTCAAGCCTGCAGATAAAGGATGATATATGTTTTCTACTGTCAACTGACCTCATCAGGGCCCCGTGCATATCAAAGAAGCAGACTAACTTCTCCTACTAATGAACTCTATGCACAGCTCCACTACTTCCTTAACTTCAGCAGCTCCTTTGTTTCCTGTCTTTCATTATTGGACCAGCAATCGGCTGGTCCAGTAATGACCAGCTACAGGTCATTAATGGACCATTACTGACTGGCTACTGTGGGTACTATTTAATGAAGATGCCAGTTGGTGACCTGTGAGGCGTCTGTTTCTCAAACTAGAGACTGTTATGTTCTTATCTTCTTGCTCAGTTGTGCAACGCGGCCTCCCACTTCTTTTTCTACTTTAGTTAGAGCCTGTTTGTGCTGTCCACTGAAGGGAGTAGTTGAAGGACATCTTCAATTTCTTAGCAATTTCTCGCATGGAATAGCCTTCATTTCTAAGAACAAGAACAGACTGCAGAGTTTCAGATGAAAGTTCTCTTTTTCTGGCCGTTTTGAGCGTTTAATTGACCCCACAAATGTGATGCTCTAGAAACTCAATCTGCTCAAAGGAAGCTGAGTTTTGTAGCTTCTGTAACGAGCTAAACTGTTTTCAGATGTGTGAACATGATTGTTCAAGGGTTTTCTAATCATCAATTAGCCTTTTGAGCCAATGAGCAAACACATTGTACCATTAGAACACTGGAAAGATAGTTGCTGGAAATGGGCCTATATACACCTATGTAGATATAGCACCAAAAACCAGACATTTGCAGCTAGAATAGTCATTTACCACATTAGCAATGTATAGAGTGTATTTCTTTAAAGTGAAGACTAGTTTAAAGTTATCTTTATTGAAACATACAGTGCTTTTCCTTCAAAAATAAGGACATTTCAATGTGACCCCAAACTTTTGAACGGTAGTGTAGGTATTTATCATTAGTAGAAAAAAACAAAGAAAACCTTGTATTTTTACCCAGCCACAAACAAAGTTAAATAATGAATCAAACTCTTACCAAATCTTTTGGGACATTTGATAGAGGATAAAATAAAACACTAATAAAAAATAATATTGTAATATTGAGCTGAAAAAACTATCGATAATAAGTGTAAAAGTAGGCATCACTATTACTGTATATTTAAAGACCTAAGTATTTTAAATTTTAGGAGTATATGAATGATATAGATTACCTAACAACAGCTGTATGGCAGAATTTGTATCATCGGTAACATGAAATAAATCTAGTGGCAGGAAATGAAAAGTATGCACAGACCAGCTAGTAATCTTAAACCAACATTGATTAGAAAATCCTAAAATGTTTTTTATTTTTTTGGGATCACCTCAATAATCTGTTGACTACTTTTTTCTTATTGCTCCCTCTCTGTGTGCAGCTTTCGGGACATGGGATGGCCGTGTGCGCTTCAAAAGCAGTCAACCCACAGTGGACTGGACTCTGGTCATCATAAGCACCAAGGTCTCAGATGAAGGCAATTATATGTGTCACATCAGTACCTTCCCAACAGGGAATTTTGAGAAAGAGATGTCTCTCACCGTCTGGAGTAAGTCAATCCCTCATTTTCTTGATGTAATCTGGTTAAAGGTGAACACAGTACAAGTGAAAAGCAACAAATTTGACCTAATTAGTAAAAAAAAATGTATTTCTCTTTAGATACGTAACTGTTTTTCTAAGCCTTCAAAGTAGAATAACTATTTTAGAAATATAAAAATCAAAGTCACACCCCTTCGATATATTTCAACATAGTTAAAGTTTTCAAGGAATTATCCCACTAATAGCCTCATCATATTACTTGCTTCAATTACAATTAGGAAGATACGCTTCCTTATGTAAAAAAAAATATTGTAAATATCCCCTAAATCCACATCTAATACCACTGCTAACTCCAGTCATTTGATCACAAGAACGGTCAGGCTGCCACAGAATAATTTTGGTTGGTCTACCTTCACAGGCAACAACAGCCTTCAATTTAGTTCAGCTTGATCAAATTCAATCCAGTTTACCTATATAGTGTCACTTCACAACAAACATCTCAAGGTATTTTGCAAAAAAAAGCAAAATGCATGTGATCACAGTATTCTTTGCAGAATACCTCTAATTCAGCTACACTGAGGGTTTTCTGTAGCCTCGTGAGACCATCCTGATCTCGCGAGATTTCAAGGTTTCACTCGCAGATCAGTCTGGAGACTCTCGATTAAAGACAATTTGGAGCCGTTCACCAAACGAACGTCCAATCAGCGTTGGCTTTGAGGCGGGCTGAGTTGTAACGCAACGAGAAGCACAACAGTTCAGTCTAAAAAACATGTCGGCTTCAGCCGATGAAACTAGCGTTAGCGTGGCTATCGAGCAAGTTTTATCGGAATTACAGAGTATTTCTTCACTGAAAGAAGAGCAAAATACTGCTCTGGAGGCTTTTCTCAGATGAAAAGATGTTTTTCCTCTTTTCCCGACTGGTTTCGGCAAGAGTAGCCTGGCTTGTGGTTGTGTTTTCGTCGTCGCTCTGTTAGTGCGTCATATGCTTCGTTGATCTGATTGGTTTATTTCGCCCGTCTATCACCAACATAGGCCAATCAGCTAACCAGTATTTTCGCCCCTTCCCAAAATTACTTCAACGGGAGGTTTCCAGATGGATATGCGGAGCAAATCCATCTGGCTGAGTCAGGTTAGGTTTTCTGAGTCTTAAAGCAAAAGGACCAAAGTGTTAGCTTAATTCGACATATATTAAGAGTTTTTTTAGGTCAATATACAGCAGTTGTTGGGTAAATGCATAGCACCCAGTACTGTACAGGAGTGATCAGGTGCCACCAGATTTCACAATCGCAATCAGAATTCAGGGGGCCCAGTGCCCACCCTCTGCCCCCTCAACCTCCGCCCCTGCCAAAAGTGCCTCTTTATGACAGTCTAAGCTCCTCTTAAACACGTCTGACTAAGTTAAAGTTGTTGTTAGGCAACCAAGCCAATCTGAGCTTTACTTGACCAGAGTCAGATATAGTTTTGGTTCTCTGATTTGGCATTTAATCCAGAAGGGGGAATGTAGAGTTGTAACTCCATGACTTCTCAGTCTGTTGATCCATCATGGTCTGCTAAAAGGCTGATATTCATGTTGGAAGACTGTTTAATTTCTCGACAGCTCAGTGTTGTAATTTGCTTTCATGGGCGTTAAACCTGGAAGTAATGGCTCTGGCACTGCTGGTAGCTAAAAGTTGCACAGTGTCTCTTTATCCAAGTGTTTAACTAAGTGTTATGTGTTTTTTTTTTTTTTATGAGAGGTAGATCAATTGTAAAATTCCCTGTTGAACCTATATGAGCCTTCCTCCTTCTGCTGAACTAATATAACAAACCCTCCTTCCAGCTACTCCAATCACTGACCTGGTTCTTCACGATGTAAAGGAGGGTGACACCTACAAGCAAGTGGCCTCCTGTCGTTCCGTTGCTCGCCCACCGCCTCGGCTCTCTTGGGACACGGAGCTTAATGGTCGGTCTGAAAACCGCACCTCAGAAAGCGGCCAAATCTCCATAAACTACTACCTGCACCCTGTGAGGGGTATGAATGGAAAGAAGCTGGACTGCTTGGTGTGGCATCCAGCTTTTTCTGAGCCACGCAGGTTGAAAAGCGTTCTGGTGGTGCATTGTAAGTATTCAGTAAATGATTTAGATTCATAACAAATATTTGTCAACTAAATGTATTGCAATAACACTGTTATAATCTTTATAAACAAGATTAGTATGTTAGTATAGGTCTGAAGGTGAGCGTCTTTATTCTCATCTTTCTGACCTGATTAATACTTCAAAAAGACTCCTCTTCCTTATAGTTCCTCCGCACGCTGAAGTGTCTGGCTACAGTGAAGACTGGCAAGTTGGCATGGAGAATGCTGCCCTGAGGTGCATACATGGAGGAAACCCTGCACCAACCGTCACTTGGACCAGGTACAATAATACGTACCTAACGCCCCAGCTGTCTGGGAACTATATGACTAACTGTCTGTTGTGTCTGGTCATTGGTGCTTTAATTAATTAATACTTGCAGAGCAACTGTGCAAATTATTTTTAGACTATGATTTTATAGATTTACATGGATGTCTGGTGAAGTTGCAATTAGGTGGGCTCCAAGATAGGGGTAACATTTATCTGTTTATTTTAGGAGTAAAATACCCATTAAATGCAGGGATGTTCTTAGTCTGCCAATGTGCTTATTTTCCTGTGTATTTCACTTTTCCTTAGGCTTTCCTTTGTCTTACTGTGATGTCTATTTTTGGGATTGTTGTGCTATTTCATAGTTGGGGGAAGCCTTTCCCTGTTAGACAGATTTCCCTATCTGCAGGAGAGGTCATATTTGACTTAACGACTATTTTACTTATTGGGCACATTTATGGCCTAATCTCATATTTGTAAACTTAGCCACTTTGCCTGAGTTGGCATACATTTTTTACTGTCATTTGATGTCTAGAATCCCCATCGATTCAAGATGTAACTATAACCTCCCCAAAACGTAAACTTTGTCAGATCATTCCTGATGTATTTCCACTCTGATACTGTGTTAAAACAGGGCCTTACTAACACTTCTTATACTGCTTTACATTTCAAACACACATTTCTGTGTATTTTCTTAGAATATAATGTGTTAAATCAACACAGAGTGGCACGTGTTTGTGTAGTTACACCAACCCCACCCACCCACAAAAAACAAAAAAAAACAAAGCTTTAAGTTCTGGTAAAGGGATCCACAGCTAGTTTGACATCCATCCAGCTACTCTCACTTATCCGTCAGGGTCACGGCGGGGCTGATACCTATCACCAGCAGTCTATGGGTTAAAGGTGGAGTACATGCCAGACAGGTTGCAGGGCAACACAGAGACCCACACATACCTAAGGACAATTTATTGACGTAAATTAGCCAAACAGTCACGTTTTTGGACTGTAGGAGAAAGCCAGAGTGCCCAGAGCAAACCCACGCATGTATTGTAACATGCAAACTTGTTGCAGAAATACCCTGGAATGGGAGTCTAACCCACGGCAACCGTGACCAAACTGTGGCACTGTGCAGCCCCAGTAGTGGAGAATGTTGGACTAAATGTGTTGTAGTTTTCCTTTGTGTGGTATTTAAAAACTCATGTTTAGTCCAATAAATATTTTTACTTTGTAATATCTTTCACCCATATATACCCGTTTTGTCTTCCTCATTTTCAGTACCTCTTGTAATTTCTACAATGTCATCGAGTTTAATGAGGTCCAGCTCAAAATTGCATCCTCCCACAGTCCAAAACCATGGTTAATTGGCTTCTCTAAATTCTCCTTAGGTGTGAGGTGTGTGTGCATAAATGGTTGTTTGTCTCTGTGCTGCCCTACGGTGAACTGGCAAACTGAAGATAGGCACCAGCACCGGTTGAAACCCCACTTCAGATAAGCATGACGGAAAATGGATGGATGGAATGGATGGCAATACAGTGCAAACAATATGGCAATGTTTGCGTGAGACGATATTTTATTTACATTCATTTGAACTTAACAGCCTTTTTTTTTGTATCTTATTCAAATAAAAAACCAAAAATTCTTAAAGAAAAACTATTTTTACAACATTTTAGCAGCTTTGCACATCCTGTCAAAAAAAATCTTGCCCAGTCTTTGCAAAAGGGCTACCACAAATGAGATGGAGAAAATCTATGATTTGTGGGCCATTGTCTTACTGGAAGCAAAGCCTATGGCTTTTGAACCTTTTTGGGTCCTCTAACAGGTTTTATTTCAGGATTGCTCCACCCATCTTCTCCAAAATCCACAATAATTCATCATTGGCAAAGCATTCCCGTTGCATGATGTTGATGTTGACCAAAATGTTGACTCTCTGGAGAGCAGTTTTAATGTTTTGACTCTGGTTTCCCTCCTGACCAGAGGATTCTTCTTCACCAGGTTTTCCTTGTCCCCCTTGTTGCACCCTTGACTTGCCTCGTAGCTTCCTTTCATTGCAAGAAATCATGCTACAAACCCTAGTATGAAAAATGCATGACCTATTAGATTCTCCCACATGTAACTTGGATCTATTCTGCACCTCTATTACAAAAAAAGGGTCTTCTGGTAGCTCCACCAAATAATGTTCTCTTTTCCTGGCCTTTCTTTTTGGTGCATTGTTATGTCTTGGTCACAGAGGTGTAAAACCTTTTTGTTACTCAAGTAGAAGTATAAATCCTACTGTTTGCTGGTGAAGATTCTGAGTCATCCAGGTCATAGTTATTCCAAAAAGTAAAAAAAAATAATCCACTTGACTTGGCTTCAAAGTTTGAAGATGTTTCGCTTCCCATCCAGGAAGCTTTTTCAATTCACGTCAGAATTTGTGTTGAGTTCGAGGCTGTATAGAGTAGCCCAGAAACTTATTTTGGCCTAGAAAATATGCAAATTGAAGGACGGGTCAGCCTGCAATACCCAATACTGGATACAGGTCTGACCCGTCCTTCTGTTACAATTTGCATGTTTTCTAAGCCAAAGTTTTTGGGCTACTATATAAAGCTTCGAACTCAATGTTATTTGTGACATTTTGAATTGAAAAAACATCCTAAATGGGAAGCGAAACGTCCATTCGATTGTTCCTACTGTTTAAAACACTTTTAAGAAGTCAGAGTATCAACTTAAGCTTTTTACTCTAGTAATAGTGTAAAATTACCATTTTTAAAACTACTTAAAGTATGAAAGCAAAAGTAATGCAGGAAAAAGGTTAAGGACAGATGCTTTACTGCGCTACCCTATTAAAGGAATATTTCTATAATAATTCTACATGATAACGTCTGTATACCTAATTTTCTTAGTTTTATAACTAATGGTAACGGTGTCAAATTTTACTTTGCATCATCTTGAAAAACTATTTATTTTGGTATGTGGGGAACAACAAGTTGGGGCAGCACCTCATACAAACACAAAGAAATTGTCTTGATGAAACAAATTATTATGATGATTTTTATTTTGTAAATACCAACAGGCCACAACAAAAATGAGCTTAAATGAAACAAAACTAACGAGTCTATTTTTAAAATGTAATGGGTAGAAAGTAGAGATAATTGCTAAAAAAATTATGTAAGGAGTAGAAGTAAAAAAATGTCTAAAAAAATAATTACTCCAGTGAAACATAGTTAGCCAACATTTCTACTTAAGTAAGGTTACAAAGTATTTGTATGTTTTTACTTGATACTTCTGCTTGATAAGTATAAATTTCTGTCCCTTTTTTATTTTCATTTTGGCATCAAAGATACAACTTAAAAATGAGATATATTTAAAGCTTAGAGTCGTGTTTTAGAACCATATTGTTAATTCCTTAACAGCAGTTTTCATATCTCCATTCATGTTGGATTTAGGTTTATACTTTGACTAGGCCATTCATAGAAATCTATATACTTTGATTGAATTCATTCCTTTATATTCTTACTGTTTCGGTTTGCTTTCCCTCTGAAAGTTGAACCCTTGCCTTATTTTCTAGTGTTTTCCAGCCTCCACTATTTTTTCCCCCCAGTACTGCCTTTATATAACCTTTTCCATCAGATTTCTAGTCAGCATAATGATGCTACCACAATGTTTCCCCTTCTGAAAATATTAAGTTCAGTTGGATGCCGGTGGAGATTCTCAGTCATCCAGGTCATAGTCATTTCAAAAAGTTAAGTTTAAAAAACAAACCGCTGGACTTTGAAGAATTTTGAAGACAATCTATTTCCCATCCAGGAAGCTTTGTCAATTCAAAATGTCTGGATTTCTGGATTAGCTTTGAGTTCCAGGCTTTTATAGAGTAGCCCAAAGCTTTGTAATGGCTTAGAAAACATGCACATTGAAGAAAAACCAGCTCCACCCCTTAGTAATGGGATCGTTGAGGTGGTTATTGGCCTTTATTACCCAATACTGGCCCATTCCTCTGAAAAGGCAGTCGTTAAGCGTCATTGTTGGCCTGACTGACCTGGCCAGATATTTTGTTCCCCTGCATTGCGATGGGGGTTGAAATGGTCAGTGTTGTGCCTGAACGCGTTCATTGAACGAAAGTTCATGAACTCGTTCATATTTTGGGCGAACTTGAACTGAACGTACGGCATTACTGCCTGATGAACGTTATTGTTAACTCGATCATTCTGGTGTCTGTGAACGGCACGCTCTCTCAGTTCAACTCCGTTCAATAGGTTGCCAGATTTCTATAGAGCCCTCCAGGCGAAACCCCTGCTAAATCACACCGTAAACAGGCCTTAATATGAAAAAACACCCAATCTGGCAACACCAGCTACCAGTGTCGTAGCCTACAGCCGCGTGCGTCATCATAACAAAATGCAGCGTGGAAGCCACAGCAGCATGGAGGCGACAAAGCAGCAGTATGATCACTTAAAACAGGTTTATGACCAGGTGGTCGGTGAGGATGATGGCAACAATCTTACATTTCTCTACAAACTTTGCCCGCCGGCTTTCAGTTAAAAAATCCGCACTTCAGTAACATCCAAAGCAAATCTGAAACGGCATATGTACTGAAATGGAATTTCAAATGGAAAAAATTATTAAAATTAAAAAAAACATTTGCACCTTAAAGACTACTTTCCTGTTTTTCTTTTAATAATTCCTCATAAAAAGACCATTCAAGCAGCTCATTTTTCCTGATGTTTTTGAGAATATACTGTAGGGGTGAAAGCTGCAGCTGCTACTAGTGTGAAGTGAATGAACAGCAACAAAGCGTTAAAGCAACAATGGGGAAATGCTGTCCCCTCAATAATAATGTCAATCCTGGTTGGATAAGGATTCAAAACTGGATATGAAGATGAAATCTGACGCACAGTTTCAGTGTTACAACTGATAAAATAATTGCTGTCTGTGGTTCTACAGTAGGCTATGGTGTAATTGAGCAATATATGAAAAAAAAAAAAAGAACTATGAACTAGTTCATTTTTTGGAACTGTGAACTTAGTTAAAAATTTTGA